CCGCTGCCGAGGGCTCCCATCGCACCACACCAACATACACCACCTTCACCATCCCCACCTCCCACAACCCCATTGCGGCCCCGGCGTTCTGCTGTATCACCACCGCCCGTCCTCTTATCGGCCAGGTGAACGTCAGCGACCTCCAATCGCCAACGCCCGTCACCTCCAACCCCAGAACCGCACTCGCCCTGTTGGTCTCTCGACTCAGCCAGGGTGTCCCGTCGCACTGCTGCAGAGGCACTGATTGCCTCCCGCCTCCGCTAGGGCTGTTGTCGCCCTCTCGCCTGCCGCTTTCGACACCCAACATCCATTCCTGGCCACCGTCGAACAACCAACGCGACACTGCTCTCACACCGCCGCTTCTTCTTATCAGCGACATTCTTTGGCCTGCGCCGCCCCATCTCCCTGCCCACCACGCTTCCCCCGCCCATCTTTTCTCGCACACCCCATAATCCACACGCGCTGCCGACAGACATGGCCACCACGTTCTCCACGGCGCCCGCCATGTCCCAGCACGCACATGCCCCCTACCAGCAGCACGCCTTTCGCAAGTCGACGCAGTACTCGCCCACGAGCACGACGATGAATACGCCGACCAACGTCTCGCCGACGTCGCCGCGCAACACACAACTGCCCCTCGCTCGCCATCAGGGCATCTACCAGCCCCGCACGGCCATAGGCATACCGGCGGCGCTGCGCAAGACGGAGAAGCCAGGCAGCAAGTCACCCCCCAAGGTCGATTCGGGCATGAGTTCACCCAGCAGCGGCTGGAACGTCAACGGCGGCTTCAGCACCGGTGCCCAGGATGGCCATGCGACGCCCATTGGCAACGAGGACATGCAAAGCCTCTACAACGACACGCCCATGTCGCCCGTCGCGGGGCCGATTACGCGCAACCACTGGCAGGTACGTTGTTTTGTCGTTGACGTTTTTTTTTTCCTTTCTTTGTATCCCGTTTGCCGTTTTGGTTTCCCGTTCCTTCACTCCCTATGCCGCTCTTGGCCTCGACTTGGTACCGGTCGCGTGCCCAGAATGGCTGGGTTGGCTAGCCCGCTCTTACGTACTTGGTCCGAGTGGATCGCTTTAGCGTTGCCATTGGCCGGGCCACGCCACTTCCCACTGTGGTGTCCTTTGCCGAGCTACCCAAACACTTCGTGCACGCTGCATCGCAACATTCTCGAGCCCATCAAAAACGTCGGCTCTTGAGATGGGAGTCGTCTACCACTCTAGTACTCCGCCACTCTCCAACTCTTTACTTTGTTGAGACGAGGAGCGAGGCTGGTCGCAAGAGTTGGTCGGGTCGTGACTTCCTTCTCCCTCGGCATCCCACTTTTCTTGCACATGCACGAGGGAAGGAAGGACCCCCGCACTAGACAGGCTTCCGACGCAGGGCTGGCGCCATGCCTCACTCACCTCTTTGGACTTATTGTCTTGCTGTTATCCGTGTTCCAGACCAATCGTACTGACGAAACTTGTCCAGGCTGACGGCTCCACTTCGGTATGCTCCGCTTCCAGTTGCCAAGAACCGTTTGGCTTCTTCCAGCGTCGCCACCATTGCCGCAAGTGCGGTGGCATCTACTGCTGGCAGCACTCGGCCAACCAGGTACGCCTCGATGAGCTCGCGCGGTTCCATCCAGAGGGTGCATGGCATCGTGCATGCGATCGCTGCCACAGCTCTTTTCGCGAGTGGCAACACCTTCGTTCGAGCCGGACCAACAGCGAGAGCTCGGGCAGTAGTGGGGCTCCAGTCCAGTCCATTGAGACGCCTGCACCAGCAAAGCGCCCCGAGAACCAGCGCGTAGGCAGTCTTGCACAGAGCCTCCAGGGCGCATGGAACTGGAGCACCTTCTGAGCTGAGTCTAGTGCGACGAGGACGAGGCTGTCTAATCGTGGTGGGGCTTCTCGAACGCCAGCACCATCTTCCACTCCCTTCGACTGATAGCAAGACTTGGCTCTCTTTGCCTAGTCTTTTTTTCCATTTGATGATATCCGGACGGCCAGCATGCAGATTTTATGATGGCCAGCCATCTTTTTCCGACTCTTTCACTTGTTTACAGCATCTGCATAGCTGCATGACATGGGTGTTTTGCTTTGTCCACGATTGACCGGGTGGTCTTGTGTGTCCCCTGCATCATTTTAGCGTTTTCTTTGCGCCTCCTTCTTGGGCACACTCCTAGACACCACTTCTGCCTCCCTTGTACGGACGCGGTCTGGGCTACGACGGATGAGATGTCCAGCGTAATGATTGCTCGGTCCCCGGACCGTTTCTCGACGGCCTCGGATGGAAGGCAAGGTGGACGGGGCCGGGCGGGGTTTGATGCGTGCTCGTAGCCTTTGGACGGGCTTTTCTTTTGGTGCTTGTTTGATGCGAGGCGATGCGAGGCGTTTTGCGTTTCCACGGTCCCAGGTTGCTATTGCACTCGGACGAGCTATGGGGGTGTGGGGGTGTGCGTATAGACGGGCTCATCTGCCCAAGCGATATCTCTAGAGAAGGACTCGTGATGAGTCGTAGTGTGTAGTGAGGGTGTTCTTCTACTGCAATCAAACCATCAAAACCATCAGCTTGAAACATGTCTTGGCAACGAATGCGTGCAGAGTCAAGGCGTAAGCAACTACCCTGATGGCGTGATGTCAGGGTCAGCCTCAACACAACAACTTGCCCCGAACGCTTGATGGCCAGAGAGGGACCTGCATGCCAGAGAGCTGGGTACGCGGGGACCAACGGAAAATCAAGCGTTTGGCCTTCTCCACACAGTGAGAACCGTTGTTGACATGCCTCTTCCTGAAGGAAGAATTGCAACCTCTCTACTCTAGAGCCAACTGGCTTTCCTTTACAATGGTCTACATACAAGCATGGGCAATATGTGGTGTGCAGTTGTGCAGTTGTGCAGTTGTGCAGTTGTGCAGTTGTGCAGTTGTGCATCTGGCTCGCAAGTATACGCTAGCACAAGGTTAGCGCAGGTGCTGTCGGCCTCTGATTCGTCCGGGTGTCTTGGACCCTTGAAATCGTGGTTTTTGTTTTTTCGCCGTGTTGGGTTGGTGATGTAATTGTCACTGCAAAGCAACGCAAAGCAAAAGCAAGGAGAGGCAGAGAAGAAAAAAAGAAGTGGGATACATTGGGTTCTTGGGGTGGAATACGCATACGCATACGCATACGCATACGGACACAGTCCCTTGCATGGGTTTTATACGCTGTTTAACGGGTACCACGCATCTCATTTAGAGTAGGCCACTTTGTCACTCTCGGTCTTGCTACACGTCCTCGTACTGCACACCCTATCTGAAACGCGGGACGGGCCTTTCACAGCGCACGTCGCACGTACCTGCTCGACGCGATTATACGGGTGCTCGGGAGAGTGGGTGCGGGTGTGAGGGGTTGCTTGGGATTGCGTGGGTTGGCAAACGGGAGGGGGCTGTTGGGTGCTGGCATGGCGAACGTACCAATAGGGAATGCAGTGGCAGAGGGCGCTGGGAATGGAGTGCCGCAAGGCAAGAGGGGAAAACTTCATGGCCGCGCCTTTTATGAGAGTATCGGGAGTCCAAAGTTGGTGCTTGCGCCCATGGTGGAGCAGTCTGAGTTTGTACGTCTGTCTGCCTTTGCATTTGCGACTCCAAAATGCGTCGATGGGAGAATGAAAGAGCCATCGGATTCAACTAATACGGTTGCTGTGTATAGGCATGGCGACTCCTCTCTCGCTCCTTCCTGCCGCCTGCTCAACAGCGAAATCTCCTGGCCTACACGCCCATGTTCCATTCCAAGATGTTTGGCAAGGAATCCAAATACCGCGATGCCCATTTCCAACCTCTCAAGTCCACGATTCTCTCACCGACCGATTCACACCACCTCTCCACGCTTGACGAGTCACAAAGATATCTCGACGGCAATCCTGCATTCGACCGTCCCCTCACCGTACAGTTCTGCTCCAATGATCCCGACGATCTACTGGCGGCGGCAAAACACGTGGCCCCCTTTTGCGACGCCGTGGATCTGAATCTGGGCTGTCCGCAGGGTATAGCCAAGAGGGGGAAGTACGGAGCCTTCTTGCAGGAGGATTGGGACTTGATTGCAAGGATGATACGCAAGTGCCACGAGGAACTCGATGTCCCCATCACAGCCAAGATGCGCATCCTCGAGACCCGCGAGAAGACGCTGGAATACGCAAAGACGCTCCTGGACGCGGGCGCAAGCATCCTCACTGTCCACGGCAGACAGCGAGAGCAAAAGGGCCACAACACAGGTCTGGCAGATTGGACCGTGATCCGCTACCTCCGCGACAATCTCCCCAAGGACACCGTCCTCTTTGCAAACGGCAACATCCTCCAACACGACGACATTGCCACCTGTCTGCGCGCAACCGGCGCCGACGCCGTCATGAGCGCAGAGGGCAATCTCTACGACCCCACCATCTTTGCGGAACCGCCGCCAGTCGGGCATGAGGGGCTGGAATACTGGCGCGGACCTGATGGCAAGGGCGGTTTCCGTGTCGATGCTGTTTTTCGACGGTATATGGATATTATTTATCGCTATGCCCTTGGCCAGGATCCGCCCGTTCGCAAACCCCTCTGGCAGCCGGGGGATGCGCAGCTAGAGGATGACGTCGAAGAGGCTGGCCATGCAGATGGGCCGCCGATGAAGAAACAAAAGATGCACGAAGAGCACAAAGCCAATGGTAGTACCAATGGTAACACCAATGCCAAAAAGAAGAAGGAAAAAATCTCAAACCCAAATCTCTCGGCCATGCAGGCCCATCTCTTTCACCTCCTGCGCCCCCTCGTCGCCCAACATCATAATGTCCGCGATGCGCTCGCCCGCGCTAGGACGGGTGATATCGAGGCGTTTGAGCGCGTATTGGCGCTGACGGAGGAGGCGGTGCGGGTGGGGATTTGGGGGGAGGGGAGGAGTGGGGAAGTGGACGGGGAGGGGGAGGCGGGTGGGGATGGGGAAGGAAAGGGGAAAGGGGAAGAGGGAGGAAAGGAGGAAGAGGGACAAGAGAACCCAGACCCGTACGAAAGTTCCCTGGCGACGGTGGCTCGTGTCAAGAGACCGTATTGGGTCTGTCAGCCATATGTGAGACCGTTGCCAAAAGAGGCGCTGGAGAAGGGGAGTATGACGGTTGGGAAGAAGGAGAGGAGGAGGTTGGGGTTGGAGGGTGGGCGGGTGGGCGTGAAGCAAGAGAAGGGAGTGCCTAGTGAGGAAGGGAAGGCAGTGGTTGGTGGGCAAGAGAAGGGAGCAAATGAAGAGAAGACAAAACATACACATATTTCCGCCTCGGAAGAACGGTCACCCGCTGATCGAGATGGTCGGGTTGAGGGTGGTGGGTTGGAGGTGGAGGGGAGGGAGAGGGGCGGGGGAGATGTGGTTGAGGAGCCGATGGGGGGTGTGGTTTGTGGGTAGGGAAGGGGAATAGAGGGAAGGGAAGGGAGGGGAAGGTTGAGGGAAGGGAAGGAGAGGGGGAGGATACATAGGAAATGGGAAATGTAAAATAGGAATTAAGAAATGAAACAAAATAACACGATATCTCTCTTTCTTCTTCCTAGTCTTTCTTCTCGTGTATTCATCTTGTTTCTTATCTTTCGTTTATGCATCTAGCCTTTTATTTCTACCTTTATCTAGTCGTAGTCGTAACTGTAGTTATAGGCGTAGTCGTAGTATAGTTTCTCTTTTTCTTTCTCTTTATATCCTTTATCTTTTGCATTCATTCTTGCGTTCATTCTGTGTATAACTTGTAGCCTATTGATAGCTCTATTTATACTCTATATACTCCTTCTTACCCTCCTTACCACCTTCCTTACTACACACCCTATGTTCTTTAGCTGACAAATGTATTATATATAATACACACTGCGCTAGCCTACATAGCATAGAGAGTAGATCATGGTAGTACGTGTATTTAGTAGGTATACTAGGGAAATACTACAAAGACTCCCTATATTTAAAAAGCGCTAGACGAAAAAAAAAAATTAAAAATACAAAAAAATTCAAACAAACCAGAAATACATCAAGTAGGTAGATTTAAACCTGACTTTTCTTTCCGGGTTGCGCGATACCAGGTCTGGTTTGCGCGGGACATTGCGATTTCGTCTCTGATAGCGAATTGCCTCTCGGCCGTTTTGTGTTCGGCTGGAGAAGTTCGCACAGCTCAGGTGGACGACGACGTATCCCGTGTACCGTGTTGCTTCTGCTCTTCGGTGTGTATTAGCCGCTGTAATCATTGTGTATAGGCGCTTGGATCTCATCCTTGTAAATGACGTGGAGTTTGTCTTTGCAAAGACGTGAGTGCGGGATATATGTGCAAGGGCGATGATTGCAGCCACGATGACTTGGAGGTGCGGGTTCCAATTTCCACGTGTTTTTTTATGGACGGCGGGGTTTGCCGGGGACGACGGGCGGCTAGTTGGATTGAACAGGGGGTTATAGTGGGGGAGTGTGGATGTGGTGGGTATATAATGTAGTAACGGAGGCTATAGTTGTGAAGGAGAATGATGGGGTGGGGGGTAGATATAAGAGGAGTTTGTTCGAAAGGGGATGTGTGATGTGGTTTCCTCGTGTGAGTGGGGCATGATGTAGTTGTCAGCGGGTACTTTGGAAGAGATGAGCGATCAAGGAAGGCATGTGGATGTATGCGGTCGGTTTGAAGGATCGTGTGGTTGTGGTTGTGATGTTGAAAGATTGTGTGCATTATTTCACGTCTTGCCCCCTTTCGCTTGTGTATACAACGTGTACGCCGTTATGATCGACGCAATGCAAACAGCGCTGGCTGTCCGTCTCTCTACTGGCGGAGATGTATGTGTCTTCCACAAAGATGCTTGTGGTTAAGGAGCAATGCTTCGAACGACGTCGGGTTAAGTTACGGACCATTCCCCATCGAAGTCTTGGCGACTGACAGAGACCTCTCCATGCTTGGCACACGAACCAGGCTGAACACCCCCCAAAGCACAAGATAAACTGCTGCATCGCCATACTGACTCGAAACCTACTTCAAGCAAGCCAAAACTCGATAGATCAGCTGCTAAGTCGCGATATGCATTCTTTTGACGCGCGGCTGCCTATAGACTACCGTCTCGCCACAACATACCACTCGCCTTTGACCGGACAACGCGATGTGTGGCTGAACCTCCATGGCTTCGTGTGCACCAAGAAGTCATGCTAGCACCCGACCCGCGAGATACCAGATCCTGTCTCGGTCGTGACCAAAGTCATTCGCGCAACGTAATAGCTCTTGTGAGCAGGTCTCGACTCTCGAACCTGTCCACGACTCGTCATGATTAATTGCTTGAACTTTACAGAATTCATAGTAGCAGACTAAATACTCAGGACACCACCAGTCGTGACGGGGATAGGGTGATGAATTGCACTATTCGGCCGCTTCACTTGTCTTTCGGCCCAGAGTTTAGTCCTCACATGCTCCGCGGCCATCCTTCTCTCGAGTCCGTTCAGGCCACTCACAGTGTGGTGGCTACTAACCTGAGTTGAACGCAACAAGATATCATCTTATCCACATGTTCATACTCCACAACGATTTGATGGCCGGTCGAGCAGGGTTTGCCGCCAAATCCATAGCATGCCGCGCACGAGAAGCATTCGATGGCTTGACATGGCTTGGCATGGCTTCCCAGATGCTACAATGAGTGGCAGATTTCTCTCGGGGATTCTACATCGGAAACCCGCTAAACGCCACTTCATATGCTACCAATCCTGTTCGTGTGGATGCACAACTGATTCCGAAAGTTGGATGTATCAAGTCCACTAGTCGTAGCCAAAGCCCAGCATGTCTTTCAGGATGCACGACACCCTCCCTTGGCTACTAATACGTCTAGACCGGCCAATCGTATACTGTTCACGCCGCCTAAGCATATGATGCGAGCCGATCCACCACTGAGCTCACTCAAAACTCGAGAAATGCATGCATTCCTACCAATGGCGCCTAGCCATACAACGGCACGCGGCAACTTCGCCAGTGATTATGGCGTCGTCCTCGTGATTCTAGAGCGTCGTCTTCAAGCGTCGTCCAGTTTTGTGATGTCCATCAACGATGGCATGTCCGCTTTGACGCCTTCTACCCTGCTGACGATGCCCAAGCATAAGGCTCCCTTGCACATGTCCACACCAGAACGAAGAGGTGGCCAGCATCAAGGATCCTACCAAAGGATACAGGTCAACCAGTTATACATGTGCGCACATCAAACGTGCAACGTGCATATCGACCAGCATAAGCGACAATAAATTAAAAGCCTTTTTTTCATCGAGACCAGAAGCAGAGCGAGAGGTACCAATCGAGCGTTAGAAAACCGCATTGATTCAGAGGGCATGTCAAAGCTAGGCAGGACTGTGCCTTGTCGTATTCGCGTCAATTTGCTCTATGTGAGAGCAGCTCACATTAGGGAGCAAGGAATCTTACTTTCCCGAGACACCAGGCACTGAACTGCTATATTCAGTCGGTAACAGGGCGGCGTGTTGGCCTAACCACCGGAGACAACTTATTCGTTATGTTCACTACACATTTGGCCAATTTATCAATTCATAGTATGTGGATATGAGGCTCAGTGGTCACCACCACGGAGACCATGCTGCTTTGAGTACCATCCCAGTCAAAGGACGACAGCCTCGCCTCGGAGCCCTTGCATTTGATTGGAATGAGCAGAAGGACTCAATCCGCCGGCTTGTGAAAGTTTTCAGGTTGCTACTGACACGCAATCTCCATTATGCATGTAGATTCATGGGGAGGTAGGTGAATCACCTGTGGCCATGCATCGGGACATCATTGCACTCGGTGTGAGCGTGCGGCTTGAACGAGTTGCGATTGCCATGCACGCTCTGAAACAATCCATCGTGCAGTATGAAAGAGCAACTTGCGCTCATGCAGATCTACAGTGCAGGATCTTGTCCAGAGTACAGCTCAACGCCTCCGCAAGCGAACATCCTCGCGCTCTTTTCCGTGGCTAACCTCATAGCTGCTATTCTCGTTCCTACAATGTGCACTGACGGTCATTCCCTGCTAGCGTATATACCGCTCGTCATTCTTCGTATACCCCACACTAATCGCCTTTGACGCTCGTTTGACGTTACTTAATGCTTCAGCCACGATGGGCAACGGCCGCCTAAGGAAACAGGGTATTCAGCGGCTACCCCACGCAACTACTTCGAGAGTCTGGGAGTGGCCTGGATCTGGTCCGCCACAGACGGGCTGTGCTCAAGAGGCGGAATAGCGGGAGTCAAGGAAAGCTAGGTTGCTAGAAGCAACAAAGCTACGGCGTTCGATCGCTTAACTTCAAGAGGTGAAATCAATGGCCTCGATGCTGGACACTATACTGCTGCAAGTGGACATCAACCGAAGTTCGGGCTAGTGACTTCCTTCATAAAGCCCAAGCTTATTCCAGACGTGGTCTGCGTGTTTCGAACCGCGCCGCATCTCAGCATATAACACCCATGCCAATGTGGCCCGCTCATTGTTCGTTGAGCTAATGATGGATCGTTGTGCTTACCAGCATACTGATTGCACACGGCACAAACCTCATGTACCGGAATCTTGGTTGTGTTGTCGCATTGACCGACCTACGCCATCCTTTGAAGGACTGGGCCATGATGGCTTCCACGGAGGCTCTTGGGCTGATTCCACTATTGAAAGTGGGCTTATATTAGATCTACTTTGTACCTGTCCCGCTACTATCTGATTAACTCTCAACTCAGATTGAAGAATCCCAAGAATTTGAGGGTTCCACTCGTCGCCTTTGTGTCCTAGAGTCGTCTACTTACACTCAGTTTGAACTTTCCTAGAATAATCTTCTGCGCGTTGTCGATACGGAAGACCACAACCAACCATTGGAATACGGCAACGGTACCCATGGATTCTTGTAAATCGAGTCTCTATCAAGTTATCGACCCTTCAATGTATGCAGAAACACTCTATGGCAGCCGACATGGCTCGACACAACCCGAAGCCAGCCGTCAGTCTTTCGGAGAACACACGTCCACATGCGGTTTCAGACGAGAATATACATATAAGCCACCACCTGGAGCTTTGCAGAATAACTTCGAGTCATGGGTGTTGGACGGCCCATCATGTGATAGTCCTCTGTCAACGTGTTCCTCCCAAAGTCCATCCGAAGGTATCGCGACACCACCGACGTACACTTGTCAGCTGCCACTTCCTGGATACGATCTTCATAACCATCACAACCAGCTCTGCCAGGATAATGCTACTGGTTACGCTGACTATAGAAATGTAACTATGGTCCCTTGGGCATCGCAATTCACCGTTCCCAGCAACTGGACTGCGCATTCGATGCAGAATTGGTTCACCGACGGTTACCATACTGGCTTACAACTGCCCGTGACGGAACCATTCGTTCCACTTCAAAACATCACAGCTCCAGAGTTACTTCTTCCTAGTCAGAGTTTTCCAGCCCCAGATCACTTTGACGTATACAACACGCCTGATCCGACGAAGGAAGATGACTCAATGGACGATACCGCCAGTGAAAGCGAAGAGTCAAACGACGACGACTATGGCGAGTCAGGGGGTAGTACCGATGGTCGTACATCCAAGTCCAGAAGCCATGCGCTAATGCCGCGCTTCATGTTGAGCAAGTGGGATCTCAGCGGCATGAGCTCATATAATCGCCAGCAGTCACACTCGTTCTATTGCCCTCTCAGAGGCCAGACAGACACAAGGGGCAAAATCTGTAATGCGAAATTCGCACGCCCAGAGCACTGTCGCCGTCATGTAAAGACGGTCCATGGTGATGTGAAGGAGTACCGCTGCAAGGTCCAAGGGTGCGAGAGGGCCTTCTCAAGAGGAGACAATCTCCGGGATCATTACTGGACTCATTTGCAACGCGGCGGCCGGATTGGCAAAAACGATAAGATGTCACTTGCTGAGCTCAAGGAAATACTGGGCAGATCAGAGAAGAAGCTGATTCGCAAGTTGAAGCAAAAAATGGCAAAGCACAAGGCAAAGCAATTGAGAGCAGCTGTGAAAACGACAATATAAATTCGAGCGCTTGTAGAAGTACTCAGTAGACGAGGATCGAGGAGGTACGGTCTTTACGGTTGTTTGTGTTGGGATTGACTTTTGTCACTCGGGTGAATTTGGAGTTGGGGAAGCCTGTAAATCATTGTTGGTCATTCTCTGCCTTGTACCGGTACTGTCATTCCCGGCTTTTTCATTTCGTGTATATTACTTTCAGCAGACTCATCTGAGCCACGTTAAATGACCTTCGTAATAGTAACATGAAATCGGTATACTACGAAGCCTCCGAAGCATTCTCTATACCCTGACACCGTACAACGAACTGTGGCATTTGATAGCACAGCAAAAGATCAGTTGTATGCTCCGTTCCTTGTCCGCTCAACATGGTTAGTATCTCTTTGTAGAACTGTCCTTCCACCTACCCCGACAACGATCAACGCGTCAAATCGAGGACACCTCAGAAGTCTCAGAAGTAGTATGGCGTATCTCCTAGACGTTCAGTTCCACCCAACCTCGACAGTGAACGGGCCCTCAGACTCTGACGCTAAGCGGAGACACAAGGCGTCTAATCCACCCTAGAGCCTCGCACATCCTAGTCACATGCACTGAATCACTTCGTTCACCGAGATCCAACGAATGTGGTGGACTTCACTGAATGGTTCGAATAGTTGTGCCATCCAATAGCTGGCCGCCGCAACACATAGCCGCCGTCAGACTAGGGGAAGCGAAATTGACAGCCGCGTATATGCTTTTGCTCGCTTTGATGTGTGACTAGCACCCGTTGACAAGACGGATCGCCTTGTGGCTTTTTTTTTCAAGGTTAGGGTGCAGTTGATCTTGTCGGCGGAAGTAGACATGCGAAGTGGTGTGGAGGGTTCTACTCGAAAGTAAAAATGTGTGAGAAAGTCGGTTTCCCGCGGGGAATTTGCTCTTCATAGGTTGTTCTTTTGGTATCTTGACATTAGATGTCTCCAGTGACGGATGATTTGAACAGCCAAGTATTATACCCTCCGTCACGGGGCAAAATCCCGATTCCAACATCCAGGTCTCGATCGCCTCCGCCCAACCGCGTAGCTTTTCCATCGAAATCGCCATCGCCATCGCCATCCATCGCCATCTCAACCGTCGTAAGATGGGAAAACATGCGAGATCAACTCTTTCCGGCATGTCCGTGCCGTGCAAAGTGTGATTGAATAGTGATGCGCGTTCCCCACAAAATCCTTCAGGATTATTGATTCAATGTGCAACTCCCAACCCACACCACAAACCAGCCGTGCCGCAAGTAGCGTGTATTTGGACCAACGAGGACATGTTGCGAGCGCCTCACTTCACGCAAGCCACGGGCTGCTTTGGATGCAGGACCCCCACCTGTATTTGCGACAGGGGCTGTGGCAGGTTCAAATGACACTCTTGCGCGAGTGGGGATGGCGGCGATCATTCACCGGCGGATCTTTGATCTGCCAAGTTGAACGGCCGTGGGATTCACTATAGGTCTCATACCCAGCAGGAACCTCTTCTCGCCTCAGATGAATTTGGAGTCGGAATCGCTGGCGAAATGGACATTAGAGGTTTTTGCACCTCAGTGGCGCTCGCAGCCTCAAGCACATCCACCAACGTCTGAGTAGAGTACGCATATATCGCGTCAGAGGAAATCTTCAATCCCATGGCTTTCTGCAGGAACTTTCTGCTGCAGCGACCAATCTCTCCGCATACCACATACATGAGGAATCGTGAGACACTCCCTCTCCTTCCAGAAACCCCTGATCCGGCATCTTCATTGGCTCAGCAAGGAGATACTTCTTTGTTCCCACCGACGCGGGAATAAAAAACTCACGCCTGGAGCCGCGCGCCGATAGTCCCGCATAAATCGGCGTCTAGATACCTTTCATCGTGATGGCCGCGGGTTAGGCAGGCAGTCAGGCAGTGGGAACAAACGACAGATCCTAGGTCGAACCGGAGCCCTTGCTCCAGCGTCCAACCTCGCCAACTGCGGCCCGAAGAGTCAGTGGGAGTTGTTGGAGGGTTACGCGCGTCTTTTTGCGGCTTATGTACCGAAGTGTCTGGTTTCCTTAGCGATCAAATGGGGTTGTATGTGCAGTCAGATGAAAGCGATCAGGCAATGTTGGCCTTGGCCGCAAGAACCCAACAACAGTGAAGTGCAGCACGAGAATAGCATCGATGACATCTACTCATAAACATCATGATTGAGATATCCTCAAAATCCGTATAATGGTGCTTACTCACACCCTAGCCTCACGGAGTCATGGTAGTCACAGGTGTCTAACGAGTAGAATGCAAGCACTCCGCCTCTCCACCAACAACCTCCACGCTAGAACCCCAGACTCTTCTACAAAGAATCTTACTCGAGACTATTCTTGTCTCTACGACTTTCTGTCTCTTTGTGATGTCAGCGTAGACATGCAGCCCATCGCTCTTTGTCTGTTTCACGCCCATGGTATCCCCAAGCGCCACTGGCTTTGGAATCCCTTGATGTGATGAAAGTATGAATTGAAGAGAATCTATGGAGCAAGGTGGCTAGATATAGACCTCCACTAGCCCCAAATGGGCGTCTCCCGGACGACCCAGGATGGGGAGTCGTGATGGGAGGTAGGCAGCCACCACCTTGATATACCGGGTAAGCACTATGGGTGATACAAATAACATCCCTCTACCAAGGGACATAGGACATGTATCCTGAAATGAAGTCCCCAGATCTGATTATATGCGCATTATTGCAGGGGATGGTTTCTTCGGGGACTTGTGTGGGAGCATGCTATGTTTAGACAGTACACAGGTGTTGACCGTGGTTGTGATTTGAAAAGAGACCTTTTATGTTGGCAAGAATAGGCTCACCTCCAAGATAAGCTGCATAAGCTGATTTGAGCAGGTGAATAGTACATGGGATATAAACATACTCGATATCTGCGCGCAATTAAGTAGATTGCACATGTATGTACTTGTTTACGACATTGAATCTAACGCGGTTTTAAATCAACTATAACATCAAATCCACCTTCCTCGTAGACAAACACAAGTAACATCACAGACACAAGTTCCTCCATTTGCAAAACCTACTTTTCAGGGTTAGATATATACAAGACACAGCGAGAAGCCATCACGCCTAGAATATGAGACAACCTAGAATCATGCAATCCCAGCCCCTCCGCCACGCCACCCAACCCACATTCTCCGCTCGAAAAACCCCCCATCTTAAGAACCAGCTTCGCAAGCCACTATTCCGCCTTCCCCGCCGCGCCACACCTACCTTCTATCCAAGCGTGCATGCAATGGACCGCGCTTTCATCTTCTCAGTGCTGCTCTCTTATTCCAAGGTCCTTGTTCACTAGCCCACGACCCCCTATCCTCAGCAATAAACGGAGCGCTTACTACCCATCCATCCAGGTAAGAGAAATCTCAAGCGAAATCTCAGTTCGCGAGCAGAGCGCAGAAAGACAAGAGCGGCTTTGTAGCAAGACAATGGGAGAATAGGGATGAGCGTTATTCCGCCTGCATGGAAGTGTGCGTTACGCGTGCCGGGAGCTCGTGTCTTCTCGGTGACCAGATAGTTTAGAACGGGATCTAGCGGGCTTGGAATCGTGTATGCCGTAGCGGTAATTGAAGTTAAAAGTTCAAATCCAAACACACAATTCAACCCCACAAACTCAAAACCCACACCTCACAGGTCAGGCAGAACACCCATCACAATCAACAACTTCACTGTGTCATCAACTCAGAAAAAACAGGTTAGAGACGGAAGAAGGGCTAAATTAAAACAATCCCCAATTCCACCCCAGAACTACTTGGAGGCCCTTCATCTCATCATCTAAGCTTTATAACTACCACTATTAATTCCGCAAAAAACCACCTTCGCATCTGAAAAGAATGATCGGATTCGTCCGAGAACAAAACTCCCGTTTCAAAGAAACAAATGAGTTTGAACTAAGCAAAAATCCATCATCGATCCCCGTGAGAATGTTAAAAGATAGCGCTTCTCCTTTCCAAAACCAAATGTCAGCTTTGTGGGCGGTGTTGTCCGACCAACCCAAACCCGAGCGTACAAAGGCTCTCTGCAAAATCGCTTCAGTCTAAGCAGACGAAAACACAAAAAAAATGTCCATCCATACAGTCATGAAGAATGCAAAATAATCTGCTTTGAATAAAAAAATCTATAAGGGAATGTTGGGGAATAGGTAGATAGACCCTAAATACAGATCTAATTACAGAGAATTAAACATTCCTCCCGGCGTGCGTGTATATATAAAAAGTGACTGGACAAAAATGTGTTTCTCTTAAACCATGGCGGCGAGAGCGAGAGCACCGGCCAAGAAAGCGACCATGGGCTTGGTGTTGGCGGCCGCGCCAGTGAACTCTGGGGGAGGAGTGGAGGTGTGGGTAGGGGGAGGGGGCATAATGGTACCGACGGATAGGTGGGCGGTGACTGACGTAGGGATGACGGGAGGAGTACCTGGAGGGTAGGGAGGAGGAGGACCGTGCTGCTCAGATGGAGGACCAGGAGGAGGAGGACCGTGCTGCTCAGATGGAGGACCAGGAGGAGGAGGACCGTGCTGCTCAGATGGAGGACCAGGAGGAGGAGGACCGTGCTGCTCAGATGGAGGACCAGGAGGGTAGGAAGGAGGAGGACCATGCTGCTCAGATGGGGGACTTGGAGGAGGACCGTGCTGCTCAGATGGAGGAGATGGAGGAGGACCGTGCTGCTCAGATGGGGGACCTGGAGGAGGTGGAGACTGAGCGGGAGGAGGAGGCTGGCGGGTGATGGTGGTGGTGACAGTGGTCTCCCCAGGTGGTGGGCAAGGCTCAGAGGCGGTAGTCTGAGCAGGAGGCTGAGACATTGGGGGACCTGGGGGGGGAGGACCGTGCGACATGGGTGGCTGAGGAGGAGCAGTCGTCTCCTCGCAGGGCTCGCTGGTAGTCTCTTGGGCAGGAGGAGCCGAAGACTTGGGTGGCTGAGGAGGAGCAGTCGTCTCCTCGCATGGCTCGCTGGTAGTCTCGTCGGCAGGAGGAGCCGAAGACTTGGGTGGCTGAGGAGGAGCAGTCGTCTCCTCGCATGGCTCGCTGGTAGTCTCTTGGGCAGGAGGAGCCGAAGACTTGGGTGGCTGAGGAGGAGCAGTCGTCTCCTCGCATGGCTCGCTGGTAGTCTCGTCGGCAGGAGGAGCCGAAGACTTGGGTGGCTGAGGAGGAGCAGTCGTTTCCTCGCAGGGCTCGCTGGTAGTCTCGTCGGCAGGAGGAGCCGAAGACTTGGGTGGCTGAGGAGGAGCAGTCGTTTCCTCGCAGGGCTCGCTGGTAGTCTCGTCGGCAGGAGGAGCCGAAGACTTGGGTGGCTGAGGAGGAGCAGTCGTCTCCTCGCAGGGCTCGCTGGTAGTCTCGTCGGCAGGAGGAGCCGAAGACTTGGGTGGCTGAGGAGGAGCAGTCGTCTCCTCGCAGGGCTCGCTGGTAGTCTCGTGGGCAGGAGGAGCCGAAGACTTGGGTGGCTGAGGAGGAGCAGACGTCTCCTCGCAGGGCTCAGTCGAGGTCGAGCCACTCGAGGTGGTCTCGTCGGCAGGAGGAGCCGAAGACTTGGGTGGCTGAGGAGGAGCAGTCGTCTCCTCGCAGGGCTCAGTCGAGGTCGAGCCACTGGGTGAGGGGGATGGCGAGGGCTTGTCGCCGTATCCACCAGGCATCGAAGACGATGATACTGAGGGAGCCGGGGGCGTAGGCTTCTCGCCGTATCCACCAGGCATCGAAGACGATGATACTGAGGGAGCCGGGGGCGTAGGCTTCTCGCCGTATCCACCAGGCATCGAAGACGATGATACTGAGGGAGCCGGGGGCGTAGGCTTGTCGCCGTATCCACCAGGCATCGACGACGACGATGATGATACTTCGGGAGCCGGGGGAGTAGGCGAAGGCTTACTTCCATAGCCGCCAGGAGGCATGGAACCCGAGTAACTGGGAGCAGAGGAAGTTGAGTTGGTAGTACCATATCCACTACCATATCCACCACCTCCGTACTGGGGAACAGCCATGGCTGTGCCCATGAGGGCCATCATAGCGACGGTGACCTTCATGCTGAATTAGGGTAGACGTTGAACGTCTGGATAGTAAAGTAATTAATACAAGCGAAAGGACAGAGCAACCGTAGCGAGCGAGTTGCAACTGAGGGGCGCAGTTGTGAAGGTCGGATGCGGATCACTGTCAACGAGGGCAAGGCGGTCTAAATATGTACTGCTGGAGGAGTTGATGGGCTCCCCATTTGACCAGCCTTTTGCTCTGGCCCAAGAACAAGCTCGCATAAGCTAAGGGGTTAATCCGAAGTCGTTCCCCCATACCGGCGGGGTGAGATGACAAGCTATGGGCGCCTCCATATTTGGTAAGTTCTCGTAACAGTGGGGCAGACTATCTACTATGGTGAGAGAGTCAGCCCAGAGAGGAAAACATTTTATCGGCTAGCAGGCCATTCGGTAGGCCAATGATGTCCTAGCCAAGAGGGTAAGTTTCTGGAAGGACCCAATAGTTACGCCAGGGGTTGCTTGTATAGAATGCATGTGGTATGCAGGGGTGGCTGCAGAGCAAGTCATAGTAAGTCAAACGTATGCCAATCTGTAGTCAGATGAAAGCTTTGGAGCGTGGCAGCGTGCAACGGGCTTCCCAGCCTGCATAGCAAAGTACTGGTGTGCCAAATCCAAAAAAAAACGCCTCCGTCCGTGCTATCAGGCTCAGTGTTGCACTCAATTACACAAACTCTGAGAGACTTGGGTTGTGCTAGACTACACGTTGCTTGCCCCAACGAACGCTCAAAAATAACTCATCATGACGAGATGGCTATTGAAAACCACAAGACCAGTTTATGCTAGGTATGTTCGGGGTGGGTGCACGTCGATGATGCAATGCACCTATCAACGGGGCCTGGGACCGTATCTTCGGCAAGTTGTGCACAGACAGTGAAGGAGGCTCGTGTCTAGCCGGCGGCCGCAAGCCACTAAACGGCTGCGAGGCTATTTTGGTTACCAGCACATGCGAGCAAAGCCAAGCTCTCACATTGTTGTCGTGTGTCGTGCAGTCAATCATTTTCATGGCAGAGTCAACGGCAGTGGACACTGAAAAATAGGGTGGCTGTCCATACCATCCCGAAGCCCACCTCTCGAGCGGAGTGAAGGCGGACAAACTTGTGGTGGTATTCACGGGCGGAGATGTTTCCGTAGGATGGTTGCTGTCGCGATGGCGGGGCTACATGACCGGCCGAGGCGGCAAGGCACAACGTCAAGCCTCCGGTGATTGTCTGGGTTTTGGCGGTCATCACGCCCCATGGCCAAGTGGATCGCAGGCAAGCATCCAGCGTCGAAAGACTGGGGATGCCAGTATCTCGAGCAGATCGGTGTGCATTGGGCGTGGTCTGCTGACTTCAGCCTTGTCAGTGTGTGCACTAAATGCTGCTTATGGTCGTATAGCTCATCAAATTTGACCTTCGTTACTCCGTACTGCTCGTGTTGTCTGTCGCCTGAGTGGACTCAGAAGATGATGGTGATGATGATGATGATGATGATGATGATGATGATGATGATGGAATTCCCGACACCTCTGGATCATAATGCAGCTGCTATGACGTTAGCACGTGCATCGTCGACAACAGTGTACCTGAATGTTCCTGCAGCATCGACGGACACCATCCATCATGTGGAGCTGATCGCCAGTGCTCTTTAGCCAGTCACTGGCGGAGCTACCACCGATAAGCATGTGAGCCTCCTAAGCCAGACACTGATGATCCCTAGAGGACCACGAAAGTTGTTCAGCGAAGCCATTTTGGTTGGACCGACTGAAAGTCGTTTCGTACTCGGCCTCCACCTCGAACCCCCTGCGTCGAAGATCTTTGTTGTCAGTGTTTTCAGCACACCCTTCGTTTTCTGCGCACCTTTGCGGAGATTGCATCCGCTGTCATGGCTCAACGCTCATCATGAGGGCGATCGAAATAACGGGAAGTCGGCTGCCGCTGGCTCACCGCATGGTACACACCTTCGCTCCTCGTGTATGGAGATTGCGTGCGCAGTATATAGCAGTAAGCTACGGTCAAAGCAGCGCGCATCAGTCCATCCGTTGGAAGCCGACTGGAGAATAAGGCCGCAATAACTAAACTTTCGGCCGTTATGTAAGATCTGTTTCCCCATCAAGAATGAAAACATGACACAATTCCCAACGGCTTACTCTCTGCAGCCTTCTGCGTGTTCCAGCGTCGTGCCCAGCACTGTCCCTTATAGAAGGCATTGTGGCACATTTTCTCCACAGGCATCATAGGGCTGCGCAGATCCACCTCGTCCAACCATATGCCTCCACATCCAAGCCGCTTCGAGGTATCAACAGATCATGGATAGATATCGGAAGTGCCAAATTGTTGCCCTATCAGTGCTATCGATAGCGCTTGTCATGCAGTAAACGACAAGGTTCAGCATCCGGTTCACATCAGGCACCGTTCGCTCATGGGATGGCCCGTGTGACGATGTACTGTCGCATGGCGAGGTGCATACTATTTAGTATGTAGATTTACACTTTCGAAATGCGGAAATATCTTTTACGACGAGGGCGTCAATCATCTCTTAACGAGTAGGCGGGTCATCGTTACGATGACTAGGGTTGAGCGATCAGCTAATAGTCATCATCGCTGTCAGCATCGCCATCCCATCCCTCATCGTATTCTTCGGCGAGTACTTGCAAGCCATTGCAGAGTGCTTCTTTGTCTTCTAACCCTGTCAGTCGTTTGGCAATCTGCTCAACAGCTCGTATCTGTTCAGCAACAGCAGTGCTCGTAGTCAATCCCGCATAAACAGCAAGTTTGGCGGGGTGACGGTTTCCCACGTCAAATAATGACGCCGGAAAACTGTCAAGCAGCGGAAAGAGAATGGGTGCAATGAATCTAAGAGGCGTTAGCGTATCCACCGGCGTCTCGTATTGTGGTTGGCAGCTCATCGATTCGTCGAACCACAACTGTACAGGTGGCCACCACCACCGCAACACACCGTCACATCGCGTGTCTTGGACTTTCTCGGAGAGCAGCTCGAAGTGGAAATGCGCCATCAACGTACCTTTGCACTGATGGTCTTGGATTGAACCTGTCATGAGGATCATGATCATTATCTTCATGTACATTCCATTCCCCTCGGCAAGATTCCGCACGGCCGAAAATGTGCTCTTTTTTGCTAGTTCTATTAATATTTCGATAGTCTCGCGTGAAGACATCCATGTCGAAGTCAGCCAGGGTGCCGCAGTCTTCGCTCGTCCTTCGAGACGTCATCGAACCAGTCTTCTCTGCTTGCGCAGTCTCTTGCTGGACTTTGGCGGACAGGACGTCTGGGTTTGCGATACTTATACCAAACTTGGCTATGCGTTGCTTGCCCGTGCTATTGACAGTATTCTCAAGATCTTGGAGGGTGCCTCGACCGCCTACGGAGGTTCTTAATCGCGATGAGATGGTCATGCTTTCCAGGCCGGCAACCTGTAGAGCGGCGATGTGCCACGCAGACGTCGCTTCCATTAATAGATAATTGGGGATCTTGGCTGGGCTGTTCGATATCGGAATGTAAAGCGAAGATTGGTCGCCGAGTATCTGGAGTGATCGCGAGGCGTTCGCGACCTGCTGCAGTCTTCTTTCCTGTGATTCCTCGATCAACCTATGACGCAAAGAAATATCGATGGTGATCTTACTCGAGGTACAGCTAAATTCGCACCTTGGTCGCCTAATCCCCATGTCCATATGCTCAGCTTTCCATACTCATCTCGCAACCGTTCTAACCAGCCTGATGCCCATCCGCCCCAGGCGTCGTCAACCCCTGTGAAGATTTGTAGGCCTTGGATACCGTCACACTCTTCGGCAAATGGCCTCAGATCCCGGTCTACCAAATCGACTTCTCTTTCGAACTTCTCAAACAGCTCCATACCCACTTCCCAGTTTTCAAATGGCATTAATTTATCATTGACATCAAACTCTGATAATTGGACAATAGACTTTGGATGATAGTAAACGCGGCTGTAATCGGACCAATAGCGAACAGTAGAGGCACTCAATTGCGGTGGTGGTAGGCCAGCGTCCAGATGAACCTGATACTCGGATTGCGGAATCGTCTGTGTGGCACGCTGAACAATAGGTTTCGAGGGCCATACTCCAGGCTGGTCAATTAGACTTCTATCATCTTCCGGCTCATACAGAGCACTGATCTTTCTCATGCTCCCGAAGGCACCTTTCAAGTCGTATATCAGGGCTCTTGGCGTGAATGTATCGGAGCCATCAGGAGCGATGCCTGGGCGGAACGAAACGTCATGGTCGACGGGTGATTCCTCTTCTGGGGGATAGGTAAAGTACGACTCCTTGAGGACAGATCAGTATATGTACTATGTGCAGAATCGCAGCGGGGTTGCGCAGAAAGTATAAATGGTCTTCAGCCAATATTCGGCCTCCCACTCGAGACGCCGATGTCAGCACCAAGCATGCATGACAACGCCGAAATGGGTTAACTATGTTTCAACCTGAAAGCCAGCAAATGCGGAAGAGAGGAATGGAAACGATGATGCACTCACTTGCGTGTTCCAGTAGTGGGTTCCCAGATAGTTACTCTGTCGACCAAACTGAAGAGTGACAATCTCACGCATGTCGCCGTCGGGCTCGACACAAGCCAGTGCGCGTGCGAGGATCCGAGGATATCAGTACACGGTATGCAAGTAGTTAGGATTCATGAATGCGTGAGATTTGCTGTTGCGAGTGGGTGATGGGTGAAAAGTTCAGGTCGGTGATGTCAAGCCCACTTTGAGAATTGCCCCGCACGTGAGAGCGCAACCATCTGGGAACAGAAGGAGGGCACGAAGTAGTGGCAGTACCGGTGACGACGAAACATTGGTGTGGCACGTAGTAGTGCTTATAAGGATGGCATTCATGTGCTATCAACCTGCATCCAGGACAAACATGGATTTCTTGTTTTGCTTGCACCTCATTGTCGTAGCCATCCAGGTCGTGCTTGTCTCCTTGGCGCTTTGAATGCCGGTCTTTGGTTGAATTTCGACGGGCACCATGTTCAGCAAGGGAATGAGGAAGTGCAAGCTGATGGACCAGGAAGGGAATCATGATTTTCAGCCAGTTGCTGGTGAGTAGTGGATGGAGAGCAGGACCTGAGCGAGGGCGCATCGCAGTAGTAGGGATATAGATGGTGATGACGAGTGCTCAGAGTCACTGGCAATGATTGCGAAACTGGTCTCATATTCGGCCCTGTGCGCCTCTCAATTGAACAGATTTACCATCTTCCTCGTCCACGACCACGGTCACGCCAATCACTGCCACCGTCTCGATCTCCTCGTCCACCTCCGCCTCTCCCCCGGCCAAATCCTCCATCTCGATCCGGCGGTGCCTCGCCCCGTCTCCACTCTCCAGAGGGGACACCCCCACCGAGTCTACCATCATCGAATCTTCCTCCCCTATGCCCTCTCCCACCGTAGCCAAAGTCTCCACGGCCTCCAAAGCCGTTCTCCCGCCCTCTTCCGCCATAGGATCCAGGTGGAGGTCCTCTGCCAGGTCCAGAGAGTGGTGGCGGCGCGGCTGGCACACTACCGTCTGCCAGCGGCGGAAGTATGGCACAGGCAACATAGTCGCCTATAAGGAACTTTGCATCTGCCAGGGTCTTGTCTGGGTCGCCATCCAACTGCTTCAACGCTTTGGCAACATTCGAAGCATCTGTGCTATCCGTCTCGACATCTTCTTCTCCTGTACGTGCGCCTATGATGACCGATCCTATGTCGCGGGAAATGTAGCGCCCTGGTGCTCCGGGTCGATTTGCGCCTTGTATGTCGGGATATATGAGACGAAACGCAATGCGGGAGCCGGTGTAGGGTTGTGGTAGAAGACTTGGTACAGCGCTGAGGAGGAGCTTGCATAATTCACGCAAAGTGCAACTCTGCCATGTGTAGATTTGAACATTCGTAGGGAGGCGAGGGAGGGTTGGGTCGAATTCATCTAGTCTAGCACAGGATAATTTAGTGTCATGGACCTTGGACGAGCACAAAGAGGATAGAGCAGCAGTACCTGTGAAATGCGCCTTGCTTGAAGAACAGGCGCAACAAGAAAGGTGTCGTCGTTTGGCGATCAATCTTCGCGGGCGCTTGCGTAGCCATTTGATCTTCACCCGCGCTTCACCGGTACGTCAATTAGTCTTAGTTGGATGTAGCCAGTTTGGCCTTTGAAAACTTTCGAGCCTCAAGCCTCAAGCCTCAAAGCCTCTTTGTGCGGTCAGAAGAGTGTAAGGAGTGACGTAACGCATGTCTTTGTCAAAGGAGTGAGTGCAAGGTTACGCGACGCGACAAGCTCTCACCAGCCAACGTAGCGCCGCGCCTCGGCTAAACCAAGGTTCCGAATAGTGAATGTTGAATGTCGACCTCGCGACCTTCCTCCTCTCCACAACAAATCACCACACCAGCCGACCACCAACCCCATAGACACGACACGCATTATGGACTTTGCAAAGCTCATGTCCGCGCACATCAAAAAGGGCAAAGACACAGCAGCGCCCGAGCAGCCGACGGAGAAGAAGTACCTAAAGCGCAGCGAAATCGAGGCGCAACGGCAAGCACAATACCTTGCTGAGCAGGAAGCCGCAGACAAGGCGCGAAGGGAACGGTTGGAGAAGAAGAGGAAAGCCGAGGAAGCAGAGGAAGAGCGGGAAGCAGCGCGGCGGGAGAAGCGACAGCGACTAGCCGAGGAGTCGAGGCGGCTACGCGACGAGGAACAAGAGGCTGAGGAGAGGAAACGAAGAAAGCGATTGGGGCTCCCAGATCTCCCGCCAAAGAAGAAGGTCGGGAATGAGGAAGATGGCACGCCCGTGCCTGAAGAGGAAGACATGAACGAAGAGGAGCTCAAGGCCAAGTTGCGTGCTCTGGACGAACCCGCCGTCTTATTCGGCGAAACACACAAACAGCGTCTAAAACGCTACAAGAAGCGCGTCGGCGCAGACAGTCTGGCTGCCATCATGACGGACGGCCCCATCCCCACAACCCTCCGCCTCGTCCCCGGCAAAGACATGATCATCGACCCCAAGCTCCCAAAAGACAAAGAGGGAAAAGGCTTCCTCTTCCGCCAACTCGCAAGCTACTTCACCATGGTTCTCCAAGAATGGGACGCCACCCTCGCCGGCCGAGACCCCGAAGTCAAAGAAAGCTACCAGGGCAAACAAGCCTACGCCGCCATGGTCCAAGCCCGCGAGAACCTGCGCCCGCTCTTCAAGAAGCTCGAAAAAGGCGACTTGCCCGACAGCATCCTCGAGCCCATTATTGAAATCGTCTGTGCCGCCCAGCAAAGACGCTATGTCGATGCCAACGACGGTTACCTGCGCCTCAGCATCGGCAACGCCGCGTGGCCCATTGGTGTGACCATGGTGGGTATCCACGAGCGCAGTGCGCGTGAAAAACTGCACGAGAGCGATAAGAATGCGGCGCACATCATGAGCGATGAGATTACGAGGAAGTATTTGCAGAGTATCAAGAGGTGCTTGAGTTTTGCGCAGACGAGGTGGCCGCCGACGGATCAGTTACAGCTTATGGGGTGAAAAGGGGCAATTGTTTGGATTGACGTAGGGCATTGGCTTTTGGGTATGAAGCTGCTTGCATCTTTCAGGAATACTGGGGACGTTCAATCTCGTGCCGCTGGGTTTGTGTGAAGTTGTTGATGATTGGAAGTTTCAATACCAGTAACTACAGTCTATACGACAGCACAGGGCTGAAAAGAACCAAACTGCCAGACCGCCCTGTACGTTTGCATAGCGGCTCGTCCAGCGCTTCAAATTCCGGGTAGCCATTTTCATCATCCCTCCGACAGCGCCACGAGATGGCTCCCCGGTGCTACAGCCAGACAGCCATTCTGCGCATCCGCGTCCTCGAGCGCATACCAGGGGTTGCGCAGCGGCATGGTTGTTGTTATTCTGATTAGTCAATATCAGAAGAGAGGTCTGTCGTTATTGCTTGCCTTGCCGCCATCGGGCGCCAGCAGCTCATGCACAGCAAACCTCGAATCCAGGGTATCTGGATGCAGGGTTTGGGCGGCGGCATTGGGATTGTTGTCGTTATTCTGGTTATTGGACAGCAGTACGAAGAGAAGAAGTCCATCTCCGCCCCCCCTCTGACAGTCAAGACGTATTATACGAGCCTGGAACCCTCAGCAGATCTCGCGCACATGAAAAGGCTCCACTTCAGACCCAGCATTCGCACCAATCAACCCATGCCACACTACGACCAAGCATCCCGGTACACATCACATATAGCTACAGACAAACCCACCACAAATCACTAAGCAAACCCTCCTCCCAACTCTTCCACCCAACCTCATAGCACCCATCCATCTCCGCAAACTCCCCAACATGCGTCCTCCTCACGACCAGCCAACACACCTCCAACAATCCCACCATGAAGACCACGACATAATCCTCGCCCGATTAGACAATTACATACGCGCCTACCGCACCCGCAACCCCGACGAAATGATGAAATTCTACCACCCAGACAAACTCGTCTACTCAGACATAAGTACTTACCTCCCCCTCCATCACAACAACAACAACAACAAATAACCCCCTCCCCCCAGCCGCCAACCGCCACAACATGAGCCACGAAGAAGTAAAAGCAACATACGCCGAAACTTTTACACACTTCCACGACCTGGATATTCAAACTCTGTCTCTGCATGGCCATCGCGATTTCACGGCCTGGGAGTGGGAGATTAGGTGTAGGCCGGGGGTGGATGTTGAGACGGGGGGGAGGATGGGGCGGGAGGAGGCGGGGTTGAAGAGGGTGGTGGGGTGTACATTGATGTGGTGGGAGGGGGAGAGAATTGTGAGGAATCATGATTATGTGGTGGTTAGGGAGGGGTAGGGAAAAGGGGGAGGCTGTTAATGGGATGGTTGAGAAGGTTGGAATAGTTTGGTGGTGGAGGGATGGGGTCGGGGGGTGTTGGTGTTGGACTAAGCTAATGTTTTTGTTGCTATAAGACTATGGTAGATATATTCACTACGTCGTACTACACCGCATCCACTCCAAACACCCCCCACCAGCCAACTCATCCCCCAACCCAAGATACCAGTCCAATACAACACCCAGATTCGTACCAGCACGCATCTATTCAACCCATACCCTACAACTCCCAACTCCCAACTGCCAACTGCCAACCACAACCACAACCACAACCAGCACAACCAGTAAAAGCGCTCACTGCTACCGTACCTATACCTACCTAGGGAACTTAAATTAGTACTGAGTTACCAGTAGTATGGTGGGTAGTATGGTGAGTAGTATTGTGGCAAGAATCCGATAAAATACGACTGAGACGTCTGTTTAGGATAAAAGGGATACACAGACGGAGGGATACACAGACGGAGGAATACACAGGATAAAGGGTGTAGGGTACAAGTAGATATAAATACATGTGGATGTGGATATTCCAGTCATGCTGAGATTTCTCAGGTGTTGTTTGATATTCCCTGTGTCACAGTTTACCAGATTAGACGTGAAGAGACTGACTGGTGGTGACGACTCTTGGCCAACTAGTCTTCTAATATGTTAGATGAAATAAATAAAAAAGACATGTTGTGAATGATGAAGCTAATCCACATCTCATCACCATTGCCATCGCCATTATCATCACCATCACCGTCACCGTCAAAAAAATTTAAATTCAAATTTGAATATTGTATACATTCACCTCAAATACGTGATTGAAAAAAAAACCCCCAGCCCTCCCAGGGTTCAACTGCACCAAACCACATACCACACCAAACACCCCACCCATCTCAACCTCAACTCCCCACCCTACCCCCTCGTCCCCTCAATCGCCCTCTCCAACCCCACAATCCGCAAACTCTTCCCCCGTCCCAGCTTCCCCCGCATCAGTCCCGCCGCCGGAATCCGCTCATCATCCCAGTGGCGAAACACGGCCTTCATATCGCGCGGCACGCCCTCGAGCACGACCGTGGTGACGGGCAAAAAGGGGCGGTCTTCCTCCGAGACGGCAATCATGGCGTATTCCTGGGCGAAGAGGAGGGCGGTGCTAAAGGCCGGGGCCTGGGAGCGCGAGAGGGCGCCGACGATGCTGTGGAGTTGGTGTTAGCGGGGTTTGGGATGGCTGGATAGAATGGGGCGAGTAGTGGAGGGAATGGAGGGGGGAAGAAGGAGAGTGGGCGTGCGGATCAGCTGGAGTGCAAGAGGACAAACTTACATGTACATTTCGAAAAAAGCGTCCAGGACAAACACGCCCTCTGGCTCCAAATCTCGCTGGCTAAAGGGCATAATCTCCTTGACCGCCGTCTTGATGCTCACAGCGGGCGACTTGGGTGTAAGCGGCGTCTGCGGCCTCTGTTCAGCATGATTCGAATTCGTCGTCGTCGTCGAGGCCGCAATCGCAGCGCCGTTCCACGACGGCCTCCGCAACAGCGGTGCGAAAAAGGAGCTGCTCACCTGGAGTGCCGAGCCCCAGCCCCCGGTCTGGGCACTGCTCTGTTCGATCCTGTACAGGCGGACGCGGTACTTGTCGTTCGTGGCCTTGTAGCGCCAGTGGTCGGCGGATCGCGGGATCGCGGGACCCTTGGTGGGTGTGGGCGATGGTGGAAATATGGAGAGGAAAGATGAGGGTTCGCTGCCTTCGTCGATTTCGGTAAAGTCGCCCGTGGGCGCGAGATCCATGCCCATGAGACGTGCCCCCGAGAGCTCTTCGGCAGAGCAGCCGCGGCCCTTCCACAGGAACACTTTGCCAGAGGCAGTGGAGACGAGGTAGGGATATGCAGAACAAAGCGATTTGAGGGAGAAGTCGACTTCGTCAAACGCGAGATGGCCAAGGTGGCGACGTCCGCAGAGTACAAACTGTTTCGAGGAAGGGTTCGTGCCACGGCGAGTGATGACGATACCACCGAGCGCATCGAAGAAGTTGGGAGGTTCTTGACCCTGACGGAGTATCACGAGGTTGCCTTGGTTCTGGCGGGCGTGGTTCTTTGCGAACAGCTGGGCGTCTTCAATGTTGGGCTCTGGGACACCATTTCCTGCCCATAGATAGACGTCCGTGTGCTTTGCACCCTTGGCATCTTCATAAACGTGGGTGCAGAGGTACATGGACTCCTGGAATAGTACATGCTCTTCCTGTTGAGGAATGGAGGCGAGTTTGCCGTCTCCGTTCACTTCTTGAATCTGTTTGCGCAGAGTGCGGATCTTGCTTGCGGGTCCCAGACTAAACGGCGGCGACTTCAACACTTGCACAGTATCGATGTTGTCGGGAAGCTGTCCGTTCGTGACGGGAGACTCATCGAAGAACTCTGCAAACATGCCATCGTTCTTTTGTGGCTTGGCCGCTTGTGGGGATGCTGTAAATGGCTCCGATTGTGGTCGGTGGGCACTCGTTGGTGGTGACGCTGGATAATCTACAGGCGGCTGTGGGCTCGACTCTCGTGATCGTGATGCGACAAAACTTCCCAAGCTGCCCAGACTAAAGCCCAGACCCGTGGGCTTTGGCTTCGACGGCAGAGGCTTTGATGTAGCTGGAGACTGAGACATGGGTGTAGCAGGCGACTGTGGCTCTACTGGAGGGAACTTGGGCAGTGGCTTTTGTTCGTTGTCCGGCGATCTTACGAGTCCAGCATCTTCTATAGCGGCTTGCTCGTCGGCGCGCGTGGGCAACTTGATGGGTGACTTTGTCAGTGTAGGTACAGGAGATGAAGAAGCCGATTGTCGTCCCCATAGTGATGTCGCATTCTTGACAGAGGTGAACGTCGACTTTTCCGGCGAAGGCACATTCCTTGCTGGTGAGATGTCAATGTTGGGTGTACTAATCTCCTTGAGTGGTGTTGATTTTGGGCTTTCCGCAGCTGACTTTGTGGGCAAGGTAGGCAATGGACGAGAGAACCGGGAATGGTTCACCGCGGATGACGGTGATGGCGAAGGCGCCTTAGTCGTCTCTATTGTCTTGGGTGCTGCAGATTTCTGAGGTGTGCCAAAAGAGCCAGACGACCTTCTGTCCACTTCTAGAGACGCTGGTTTCTTGGGGATGCCCGGTGAGCCTAGCTTTGGCGAACCGATGGAATCTGGACGTGATGACTTCTTCACCGACGCATGAGATCCCGAGACCCTGCGGTCCAGCTCACTAGACGTTGGTTTCTTGGGCAGCTCCGGTGTTGCTGCTTTCCCAAAGTTTCCCGATGCGATTCGGGGTGATTTAGCCGGCGTGGCTGGCTTCTCAGTCGACGACTGCCTGGCCGGCGTCCTGGTCACTGTGCTCTCCTCTGATTGTCCGTTAGTCTTGGAAAGCTCAGAACTGGGAAGAACATGCTCAGGCTTCACCGACGGCACTGCTGTGCTAGCAGCAGATGTTCTCTCTTCCGTCCTCTCCGGTGCAGCCGCGGTCTGCTTGGGTGCTCTCCTCTTTGGGCCACGGGCTCGTCCTTTGGTCATGTGTTGCAATTCCGGAGGGGGCCCAGACTTCTCCTCTTGCGCAGGCCGTGTGGGAGTTGTGTCTGCATCAGCACTTGATGTAGATCCCTTGGTCGCCATGGGAGGTGGTCCACGTGCAAGCATCCCGGCCAAGCCTGGATCAAAACGACCTGCCAGTTTGCCCGACACGGCTGGTGCCTTGGAAGCAAACAATGGAGCGGGCTGAGCAGACTTGTCTTCCACTGCAGGCTTGCTCAATGTCCGCAGGCTCTTCTTTCTGGCCAGAGCTTCGGGCGTAGGTTCCTCTTTTGGTGGAACAGAAGCCTTTGGTCCACTCTCGGCGCGGTTGAGAACGCCTCTCTTTGCAATGGCTTCGGGAGTGGGCATAATATCGGACGAGCTGCTCGACCTCTTCAGAACCGTACCCTCCTCCTTTGCCTTTTCGAGGATGACCGACTTCTTATGCCGGAGACTCTCTCTAAATTCATCGCGACGCTCAGAGGGCTTTGGGCCGCCTGTGACATTCAATGCATTCTTGCCTCGCATGATGTTGTCTTTGAGTGGATCTGGCGCAACGTAGTTCTTGGTCTCCGCCTTCCTGAGCTTGCCAAAGACGTTTGCGAGTTCATTCGTATCGTCGGTGGTCTTTGGGGCGCCACCTGCGGGCTGACGTGACTTGAGACCTGCTCTGAAGTTCTTTGGTGGGGTGACAGGTCGCGCTTTTGGCATCGCCAGACCCGTATCTTGAGCAAAGCGAGACGCCACCGGTCTCTCGGACAGAGATGGCGACGAGACCCTCGAGGTCAGCGACGGCTTGGAGGAATGCAAGGATGGAGACGAGTCTGTCTTTGGGGATGAAACCGTCTGCGTCTCAGGCATGTCCGCCTGAGCCTTGAACTGCTCCCGTGGAGAAGCCATCTCTTCCGAAGAAGAGGCCAGCTCTTTGTCAGAGGGCTTCGGTGGCGGTAGCATAGGCCTTAGCGTGGCCGAGGGATCTGCCAGCGTCTTTGCCCTCTCCCTCAACACTGTTCTGTCCCCCTCAGCCGCAGGCTCCTCCTTCTTTGGCGAGTCGGGCCTACGGAGACCCACGGGCTTCAATTGTATGTCCTTGATTGGCGAAGATGGTCGGCTGTTGCTCAAGGCGTCACCAGGCGAGCCTTGCAGCGGACTGCTCCTGCCCATGTCTATGCTGCCACGCTGCTGCTTGATGCGACTAATCTCCGCCATCCAGGCTGGTTGCGCAGGCGGCGGTGGCTGCTTCAACTTGGGCGAATCTGGCTTGCTGAGGGCGCTCTCGAGCCAGCTCGATTTTGTCGGGCTCCAGCGCTTGGAGGGACTGGGAGGAGAGGTGTCGTCTTGCGGTTGGTCCTTTTCGCTGAAGGTCGACGCTACGGATTTGCTTCGGCTGTGGCTATGGGCGGGCAGCGCAGGCTTGACGAATTCTCGAGGCGCGCGATCTTCGTCACGCGTGCCAGGCCGGGTGACGGTAGCGTTGCTGTGGCTCGAGGTAGGACGCGACGAGGGTTCGATGGAGTTGTCTCTGCTCAGCGTTGGCTTGTCCGCCTTGGACAGTGAGCCGTATCCTGCCATTGCACTCCCGCGGTTGCTCATTGTCGAGTTTTGTCTGGTCAAGCCTGGAGGTGTTGCCGTGCTCCAACGCTTGCTGACGCTGTCGCTGCGCTTGAGCATGGCACTCTGCACAAAACCTCCCATGCCCTTGGTGGGGGAAGTGGAGCGCTCACGCTCTGGCGAGATCCTCCCTTGCGTCGGCGACATGGCCATTCCACGCGTCGCACGCGAGTTGTCTGCCTCGTCTGGCATGGAGCCCGCTTCCGATGGCGGAGCAAACTTCTGCGAGTCGAGCAGGGGCAGGGCTGAGCCTCTCTTCGTGACCGGCTCGACATCGCCAGCAGATATGGAGGTGTTGGTGGAGAAGCGGTTGCTCAGCACAGTGCTCTCCCGCGCAGAGCCCCCACGCGAGCCCGGCGAACTCGAACGGGCGCTCTCAGGAGGCGGGCTGCTGACGTCAGGCTCGCGCGTGGAATCGCGGTCCCGTGACATGCCCGGCAGTGCTCGCCTGCCTGTTCCTGTCATGGAGCCGGCGTCGGATGCACTTTCCTCCTGGCTCTTCCTGTACGCCGCAGAACCAGCGCCACGGTCGGCTGTCTGGCGGAAGTAGGAAGCGTCTTTGGCGGAGAGCGAGGCAGCAATGGAGCCGCGAGAGATGGGGCGTTCGGGAGAGGCGGCTACGGAGCTGCGCGACATGGGGCGTTCAGGCGAAGCAGCTACAGAACCGCGCGAGATGGGCCGTTCAGGCGAAGCAGGCTCAGCAGCAGAGGCAGAGGCAAAGCCAGACGCAGAACCCGAGCTCCGGTCTGGCCGAGTGGGCGACATGGACAGCGGGCGACGAATGCTGCCAGACTGTGGTCTCTGTTTCCACGAGAGAGTGCCTGAGCGACCCAATGCGGCGGCGCTGCTGGCCACGGGCTTCTTGGGCTCCATGTCCTCGATCGTCGTGATGGTTTCATCCTTGTGTGGGGCGAGTTGTGGCGGCGGTGAGGATGTGAGGTCGTCGTCGGCAGCAGCAGCAGCAGCAGCAGCAGCAGCAGCAGTAGGCTCTCGGGGCGGGGCCATGGAGGGTGTGGGTGTGCTGGCAGCCTTTTCCTGCACGTCTCGCGGGGTGGGGGCGCGTGAGGAGCGAGGGGATTGCGGCGTATACGGTTTGTCGGGCGAGATGGAGCGCGCTCTTTCTGTTGTGGGTGGACTCGAGTTAGTTGGATGTATACAATACTTGAATGCAAAGGATGGTCGTGATCGTTTGCAGGCTCTGTGGTTCTCTTCTCTCACGAGCAACCACTATCTTCTGTGTACACACTGTCTGCCACTCACAGTACCTTGCATACAACATGTCATGGAAGATAGGTAGGCAGGCATGCATGTAGCAGGTAGAGTGGGAACAGTGGACCAAGTTGCCCATATCATCATCGACAACATCAAAAATCAACATCAGCAAACACCAACACCACCACCACCACCACCGCGACCATGACTGCCGCCACCACGACCACGACCACCGCTATGATTCAACGCACCTGCTCGGCGAGCCAGTCTCTCGCTACGGCCCTGGATCAACTCCTCCTCCAGTTTCTTCACCCGTTCAGCATCCTGCTGGTCCCGCTGCTCGCCCAGCTGGCGGATGCGCTGGACAAACTCGGAAGGATCCAAGTCGTCGGACATGATGGCCTCGGGGAGTCGGTGCTGGGAGACAAGGAAGGGCGGGCGGCGGGCGCAAAAGGAAGGGCTGAGGCTGCTCGGCAAGGCCAAAATGCAAATCCCGGACTGGTGGTCGCCCTACCCAAGGCCGGACGTCTGGAAAAGGTCGAGAAAGAAATGGGGGGGGGTTATTTTCCTGCTTGGCTACCTCATTCCCTGGTCATGGTCGGGGCGCTACGTGCCCGGTTCCAAGAAAGCGAGGAGATGTGTTTCAGATGTGGTGTGTCTGTGTCTGTGTGTGTTCTGGTGTGCGTGCGAGTGTGCGTGTGTGGGCGTGTGTGCCCTGAAGCGTGGCGTAGACCGGAAAGAGAGGTGCAGGCGAATGGAGGGGCTGCCAACGAGCGTCATGGAATGGAAGATGGGGTGGGGGGGGGAGTCGAGAGGTAGGCAGAGAATGGCAAAGCCGAGTCAATGGTGTTTTTGTTTATGTTTTGCCCCCTCCCCATCGCTGACAAGCAGCAAAAGCTCCACAATTTCGTTCCACAGGTCCACTACACAGTACTACTCTACATATACTATGGTACATACTTTCCATGTCCACGTCTCGACCCAACCCTTGTTGTCAAGCCCATGCATGTACCGGTACCACCAGGTGATTTATTTGCAATGCATATACACACACACACACTCTCTCTCTCTCTCTCTCTCTGTCTCTCTCTCCCTCTCTCTTTCTCCCTCACACACAACCCATGACAGTCCTCGACACAATCGACAATCAGTACAAGAACAGGCGGGCTTTGGCGTCCTGCACCACCCACTCCAACCCTTGGCGCAGATTCATGCCTGTAATGGCGCTGCACGGCATGATGTGCCACTTGTGTGTCGTGATGGCTTGCAGCCGGAGAGCCTAGGGAAAGCCAGACATTGATTAGCGATTCCCATTGGCTGAAACAGCGCCAACATTGTGCGCTTAGTCACCCACCTCGCGGACTTCGTCTTCCGTCATGGCGCCAGGGACATCGCTCTTGTTCTTGAAGACAAGCAGGCTGGCGCCCGAGAGTCGCTGCAGTCGTCACTATCAGCCTGCGTGGCCCCCATCTTTCATCGCGACTCATCCAGCAGCACACACCTCTTCTTGCAGCAGGCCTGCCAGCTCCTGTCGACAATCCTCGATGCGCTCGCGGTCCGTTGCATCCACCACCCAGATGAGCGTGTCTGTCTGTTCAAAGTAGTTTTTCCAGTAGGTTCGCAGCGTCTTTTGGCCGCCAACATCCCCTGCGAAAGTGTTGGTAAGTCATGCGTTTTGTGCTGCAAGGAAAGAAAAGCGAGGGAGAGGGAAAGGATGGGTGTACAGATGTTCAGCTTGTATCTTGTTCTCGTCAGCCAACTGTCCCCGTGTGCCAGTGAGCTCAAGGCTCAAGGCTCACAGCGCAGACGTCACCTACCCATCGTATTCAATCGTCTTGATGATGAATCCCAAGGTAGGACTGACGGTATTCACATCCTCGTTCATAATCTGCTTTACTATCGTCGTCTTCCCTGCATTATCCAGTCCTCTACACTGCCATTTAGCTCAAAACACTACCACCACACCCACACCCACACCCATGCATCCATGAACACCTACAGCATCAGGATCCTCATTTCCTTGTCCTTGAGGCGCGCTTTCCTCAATATCGAGAGCATTGTGGTGTTGGCTGTTGTGCTGTGGCAGTTTGCTCTTACATTCTTTCGCGCTCAGCCGTCTGTCCACCGCTTGTCCCTGTGGAGCTAACTTAGCCGAGTTCCCAGGTTCGGCTAGACTTTCCCTGAACGCCATGCATCATCATCATCATCATCACCACCACACGTTCGACTTGTCAACACCAACTTTTTTTCTGTTTTGGCCAATATTCGAAGAAAGACGTGGACAGACTATGACTTGTGAGACATGATTGTTGGCTTTGACACCGAGAGGAGACCTGTATCATCTGATGGTCGACGCAGTGAGTGATACGGACATCATCTCCACCAAGTGTCATCCCTTGTTTTTTTTGGGGGGGGGAGGGGGTCCAACTGCTACTTCTATTCACACTTTATCCTCCTGTTTGACCAAAAAAAAAACTGGCAGAGTTGTGCGGAGAAGCAAGCCACGGCTACGCATGATTGCTGCCGTCAACACACCGACTGACCAGGCACGCCTGCCCCAGTCAACACAAGCCGTCAGTGAACTCAACCCAGTTGAGGTGCATACCTGCACCCCTCACCGTACTCTCGCAGGCAGCCATTTCCATGTGACATAGTTTTCTCTCCTCGTGCCATGCATTTCCGTGCTGGCCATATAAGATGCCTTGCAGAGAGAGGCCTGCTTCTTCTTGTGCTTCTCGTTCTTCTTCTTCTTTTTCTTCTTCTTCTTCTTCTTCTTCTTCTTCTTCTTCTTCTTCTTCTTCTTCTTCTTCTTCTTCTTCTTCTTCTTCTTCTTCTTCTTCTTCTTCTTTCTCTTCTGCCGTGACTTGCACCTTCCTCCTCTTCCACTCTCGAGGCTTGCCACCTCATTCAAATGGTACAAGAGAAGCAGCCATCATGAGCAGAGACATGTACTTGTGTGCGCGCAGCTCCATGCCAGCGCCACCCATGTCCATCCTACAGCCTACACGAGCGAGTCCTGGACGGGGAGCAAAGGATACACTCGAGACGATGACATTGCAACACAAGGCATCGCCTGAACATTCAGCGGTAAGTAATCTCACCTGCCAACAGCCGCACTTGTACCGACTGTTCCCCGCCTCTCTCACCTCCGTACTTCACAAACCCCCCTCTCACCTCGTCACTGACGCACAGTGCACAATACCACGGACAATCAGAGCTGACCCACAACACAAAGGCCAACGGCCGCAAGAAGGTCAAGTGGGCTCCCTTTGCCGACGAGTCTGCCATTGACAAACCCGTCCACAATAGCTGGCTCGAAAAGGTCCAAGGCTCGAGTCACCAGACACGTGACAGGGCAACCACCTCCCGCTCACCCATCCACGCTAAGCCATCCGTACCTTCCCAACTCTCGCTTCTGAACTTGCCTTCTCACACAAACTCTGCTACCTATCTCAACCCACCGAACAAGAACAAGTCGCGCAGGAGGAAGAAGCCTGCCAAACAAAGCAAGATGAGTACGCCAGCACCCACGGCGGGCGCCGTGTCGATTCCACCACACCTGCGCCGCCGCAATGCTGAGCTTGCGGCCCAAAAAGCTGCCGAAGCAGCAGGCGCAACGGCAAATGCTGCAGCAGTCTCAGCAGAGAAGAAAGGAGATGCTACCGTTGACTCTGTGGATGCCAAAGCTTCAGCAGAGGCTTCCGAATCCAACAACTCAAAGGCTGCTCAGAATACCCCGCTTCACTCGTCTTCGTAAGTACTTTCGTCTCATGTCTTGAACACTGGTTGCCGTTCTTCTCGAGGCGATTTGAATGAGCAAGCATGGATGGCTAACTTCATCATAGTCTTGCGACCAAGCAGCCCTCGAAGTCACCCCCATCTCCGCCTACTACAGCGCAGGGTTCGGACAAGGTGGAGACGGCCAAGTGGACGACCTCTATCAAGCCTCGACAGCCTGTTAAAGCCATAGAGGACACTTGTCCAACCTTTGTTCCGCCAGTTCAGACCGTCAAGCATTCGTGGGCAGCCTGCTCGACGGTGAATGCGACCAAGAAAGCCGAGGATTCGTGGGCACCCTACTCGACGGCAAATGTGCTCAGGAGAGCTGAGGAATCGCGGGCAGCCTGTGCCAAGGCAAACGTGACGAAAAAGGTCGAGTTTGGAGGTTGGGACGAACCAGATTCTCCACCAAATGCCCCGCGCCGAATTGGCACAATACCCTGGGCACGTGTACCTAAGCAGCCCTACAAGCAATACCAGTGGCCAAAGGCGAGGGACATGAAGCATGCTTCCCCCGGGAGCGACAGTGATGGCGGTGTTGTTGTTGACACTGGCTTCAAGTCGGACAGTAACGGGGATGCCGACTACGATGTCAAGAAGCTGCTAGACTGGAAGGGTGACTGGCTACCTGCCCCAGAGACATGGGCTTACCGCAAAGGGTACTCTGATCGCCACTTCACCGAACATATTGACAAGTGGATCAACATCAATCCAGACTTCTACCGGCCCATGCCAATTCAAGAGCCCGCTTTCAGTGGCAGGAAAACTGTGGGTGGAGCTGAGGCCGAGTATATCGTGGGCAAGACCGAGGCTGGTGCGAACGAGTACAATGAGCTGGTTCCCCGTAAATGGATCAACACGCGCGTTGAGCATAAGACGCTTCGTGAGTACTGGACAGACATGCCAAAGAAGGCGCCTGAAGCTCTGCCCGACTGCGACATCACGGCTACTCCTCCTTGGTGGGAACGCTACACGGACCCATCCAGTTGTTTTATTACCAGTCTGGCCATGCCCGAAGCCAAGATGAATATGTTTGACGAGGAGAATCCGATTATAGAGACCAAGTTAGCTTGCGTCGAGGACAAGCTTACGGCGATTTTTGCGAGACGCAAGGCCAGGTACAACAGGACCATGGTAAAGCGCAGTCGTCCGGTGCCTGAGTCGGAGGATTTGGGGCCTCCAGTGGTGAGTAGGGGCATCGATCCAATGATGAATGTCTACTTTCGCCCCGTTCAGCCCGCTGATGTTCGAGGCATTGCTGTGAGTCTTCCTTTGCTCGTCTGCATACGATTAATAGGCTGACATTTTGCAGGAAATATACAATTACTATGTCGAGAGGACCATCTTCGCCAACGAATTCGATGGGCGTAGAGAGGATCAAATTCGCCGTCGCGTTGACGATGTCACTAGGGCTGGCCTACCCTTCCTGGTTGCCATCGTCAAAGGCCAACAGGCTCACGATCCTGCTGGACACGTTAGCGAAAAGATTGTCGGGTTCATTAGTCTAGACGACTTTGTCGACCAGTCCAGCATGTTCCGTTTCACCTTCGACATGGAGCTCTACGTCCACCCTGGCTTTGTTCAGAAGCGCATAGCCAAGTGCCTGCTTGACAAGCTCCTGGAGATTACCGACACGACGTACAAGCCGCGTGAAGGCTACGACTACAGGAACGATTCCGAGTACCTCAAGACAGGCCATGGGAGGGTCATCAAGACCATTCTCCTCAATGTACACCACGAGAGTGGAGAGGATTTCGAGTGGCAGACCAAGTTTCTCAACGACTTTGGCTTTGTGCGCTGTGGTCGTATGCCGGGCATTGGCTACAAGCTTGGCCAGGTTGTTGACGTCTCGATCTTCTCCTATCATACTTCTGAGGTGATTAATGCTTCGGGTAAGCCGTCGGTTCGATTGGAGCGTATTTGAGAAGCTGTGGTGATTAGAATTTGGGGTGTCGTTGCGAGTGCATAGGTTAACGCATGAAAGGTCTCGCCGTTGGACATGGCATTCATCACTGATCTATCTTGACTTTGATTACATGACCTACGACGATGATTCCGACCGTGGCTGTGGCTGCATGTGGCCTGTCTGCTGTTGTCAAAGGTGTTCTCACCCTTAATATTTTGCTGTTTTACTTTGGTTTGCAAGACTACTTGGAATCGGCGAGACGGTGTCTACGGTACTCGACAAGACTATCTTACCCGCACTCGACGAGAGACTGTCCTACCAGTACTCGTGTCCATCATCCCCTGTGCCTCCCCCTTGCATCAGCGCGACACGACTGCCTGCTTCATCAAATATTTTTGCCGAAGCAAGCACCAATGTCCGCTAGCTATCTGGGGCGGCAAGAGTCTAGCAAACAAGAATGTGTTTTTGTTTATTTGCTGACTTGTCTCTATTTTCCTTTTGCGAGTTTTACTTTCTGTCCCACGCGAGCTTCGAGATTTTCCTCTGTCGAGCTCAGTGGGGTAGATGATGTTTTAGAGATATCGTGGCTGGCTTGATGGATAGAGGTCTGAAGCGTGGAGAGATGCGCTAATACATGTGTGTTTGCTGTTGAGTGTTTGGGGATGCGTTTTCTAGTGTGCTGTGATGTTGGTGATGTTGGTGATGTGGTGATGTGTAATGTTTTTCTGGCATCGTGAGCTTGGTTCTATGGGGATTTGGGTGGGGGTCCTGGGGGAGAGTTGGATGGAAGATTATGTGAATGATGGGTGGATGGTTGAGTGGATTGAGCAGTTCTTTTACTTTTGCTGTCCCGTATGAACTTGAGTATCTTGTACGCTGGCAATCTCCCACCCAACCTTGACTATTCAGGGCAGGACGATAGCCATGAATGTGTCGTCAACATGGGAGTTTGTTGGTTGTTGGTCAGATGGATAGATACCGGGAAGTAAGTAGGTAAGTGAGAAACAGATGTGAAGAGTCTGGAAGCACACTGTCTGACTTCCACCTCCCACCTGTCACCTCTTACCCCAAGCCCATCATTCCACCCCTCCCAAAACCGGCCTTAATACGGCCACGGCACCACCGTGGGGTGGGGCGTGGAGTGGAGCCCCGACTGAAAAAAGGGGTCTGGACAAAAAGTCCGGAGGCCCGGGGGAGGCCGCGCCGCCATGTGAAAATTTCCTATTTTCCGAGGGTTTGTTTTCATGGGGCAGGTGGGAGGGAGGTGTAGGCTGGGGTTTTTGTGCGAGTTGGGCTGGTGGTGGGGGAGGTGTTGGGAGGGGGATGAGGATGGGTTTTGAGGACTGTGAGGGATGGGTTTTGAGGACTGTGAGGGATGGGCTGGGAAGACAAGAGAAAGAGAAAACACATCCCTTTCAACCTTTCAGGCTGCAAAAACGCGCAGACAAAGTCACTGGATGATTCCACAAAAAAAAAACAGGACATGTATGTGCTAGTATGTATGTATGCACCTAAACATGTACAACACAGTCTGCTAAGCCGCCGTATTACAGCCGCTCAGCCAAACACCTCGGTTCTCTGAACGGACTGCAGTATCCGACGATGAGGAGGGCCCAAATGCAGTGTGTAATGTGATTATATTGTCCTAGTCTTAGAAGAATGGGAGCTATCAAGAGTCACACGTGACCAAGGCATTCATGACACCGCACAAACGAGCAAAGAAACTTGAGAAAGAAATCTTTCCTCCCTGGAAAGATGACCTAAGTGCACGAAGCCCGATTACTCCCAGCCGCGGGACGAGAACACGGGTTATACGTCTTCGAACAGGATTTTTGCTGGTACGGGCATGGTCAGTATGGTTTTTGCGCGTAGGTCATGTAATTACGATGTCGTATATACAGTGTACGCGGGTGGAGGGGGTTACTAACTGAATCGCACTGCCATCTTTGAGTTCCCTGTGCACACCAACCGGGGGTGCCAGACCTATGGGTGCAGTGCTGGAGTGGGTTAGCTGGCTGTGTGGAGAGGTGGAGTGGACGAGTGGATAAACATACGACGTCAGGTATTGCGCCAGCACGAGGGGCTACTACGCCGGCGGCGCAGGCGCTGGAAAGGCAGAGGATGATGGAGGTTGTGGATAGTTTCATGGTGGTGGTGGTGGTGTTTGAAAGGATGGATACGAGTTAAGTAGGTATGTCTGAGAGAAAAGCTGTCAATCGATCCCGTATCCAAGTATCAACAGCACGAAATGGCAGCAATTTGTATACACCCACCAGCGTCTCCGTACACCACCGGCCCGACCATTAATGCCCCTGCGCAATCAAGCATCTACACGGTTAGCCTGAAATAACACACAGTACAGCAAACCAAGAACTCATTGGTAGAGATCAGATGTACAGGGGCGCAGGCGTCTTGGCTTGCCACTCGTGTGAGTTCCCTCATCACGGTCGGCCGCTTGGTGTTTGAGGAAAGAGGCCTGGATACGAGTCAGTCGTGCGTTTATTCAGGGTGTGTCTCGCCATGGACAGGGCAGGGCAGGGCAGGTTGGGAACGGGGGTTTGCGGCAGGGGAAACGGATGGATATAGATGCTGCAAATGGCAGGACTTGACATCATTTTTCTTATACAAAACACCACGCCGTACGGTACACAAGCAGGCAGAGGAGAAGATGTATGCGAACTAGTATTGGATGCCAGAACCATGTCTCGCGCCTACGGTACTACCGCTATTTTCCTTGGCAAACTGCCCTAAGATTTGGATTTGTCAGTCAGCGACTCACTACTTCTACTAGACTACCACTGTACCTCGTGTTAGCTCTCCATGCCTATACTCCGTACGGAAGGTATACTTGAAACACACATACCCATTCCGGAACCTCCGCCGCATATATGCCATATACAACTGAGGGCACGAGAACCCTTAGCAGCGACAGGTGCTAAACACGGCTGGCGGGAATAAAGATTGTAGCTAGTTTTGTGCTGGTGAAGCTGAGATGTGTGGGTAGTGTTGCTGAAGGGTCTGGGGTGGTGTAGATGGGGCTTGGTAGATATGAAGATGGTGAAGCTGATGTGGATGGGGTGATGATGTCATCAATGTACCGGTATATGAAAACAGGAAAGTTTACAGAACACAGCATCCGCACGGAATGTTTCCATGTGGCCTGTGGGCTGTCGTATGTAAAGTACCATACACTTACCGGTACTATACGTCATCACCACAACATCCACAATAACTTCCGCAATACAGTACAGCCGCCCCATTACACTTTAGCGCTCCTCAAAACAGCCCACCATAGCTCCCACACAACCCGATAGAGAACTCTACCCACCGATGAGCTAAGCTCCCGTACCGGGCCTCTTCAGACTTGGAGTGGGGGCGTGCGGCATGCTCGGCATTGGACGGGAACCTCAGCATACAGACTACACGGTAGTCAGGCTAGTTTATCCGGTAACGTTTAGGGGAGAAGCAGGATCACTGTTGTCGTTTACCGTAGTCGATTGGTTTTGCGCAGCAGGTTTGTGCGGGCCGATAGGTTATGTACGGTACCCATCATGATCCATACCAAACGGTACCATGCCATACTGTACTATGCAAGAACAGAAACGATATTGCTGAAGCGCTTGCTTAGTGCATATTATCACGCTAGTTGCGGGACGCTGTCTGTCGCTATGGATTCTTGTTTCCGGAGGAAGGTTTGATGGGTACAACGGTCTCAGCTTTTGCGCAGGCGTAGAGTGTGGTGTGATATGGTATTGTATGGTACCTATAGCAATGTTACGTTACCATATGATGGGTAATGAAAACCAGTATTGGAGAGGCAGACTCATGTGCTGAACTTTGAGATGGCGAGTTTTTTGATTTGCAGAATGAGGGTGAGAGGATTAGGGTCAGCGGGTGTGGTAGTGGATACGATGATTATCTGATGGGATGATGATGAATTCACAGGTACAGGTTCTGCTGCAACACTTCCTCGAAGAGTAACCTTGGCCATAGTCCACAGAAACAACCGTTTGTATTCAATTGCTCCACTGAAGTATCTTTCGTTTGGGCTGCATCAGGTAGGATTGCCCAGAGTCCTGGTCATAGGTGTAATAATTTAAAACACGCTGCCCTTTTCCTACGACTTTGGTAGGTGCAGCAGCAAGACGAATCGCTGATAACAACGAGAAGATGGGGTCTCCCAAGAGATATATGGTAAAGACGTTGTTGCATTGTGGTGATGCTGTATCAACATGGTAGACAATTACAATGAACCTGGCCAAGTCGCACAGCCTCACGACACTGCAATCCAATCCCTCTCGATACACGCCCCAGGCATCGCAATTAATGTCTCAACAAGTCTTGAACAGTTCTGATACCTTGGACCACTCGGACCCTGCCAGACGCCACGATATAGCATTCTAGTGGCATGTAGCCGGATCGTGTGCTTCGCCTGGAGGGAGTTCACATGGATTGCCTGTTTTTGTACACTTGTGCTCCTGATTTCATTAGCGTTATCCTGCATGTACATGTAAACAATGAATACTAACCTCCATGCACTGCCATATTGCCTCTCGGTCTGGATATTTCTTATCGACCTTAGCACAATAGCCAGGGTACCCCATTGGATCAGACCGGCAGAACTAAATTCTGTCAGTTGTCTATGTCTATAATGTATAGTATGGATGAACACACAATCGATATTTCCTGAGCAAGGCAAGCGCTAGAGAGGCAGAGAAGAATCAGGCCTGCAAACGTCTTCATGTTGGCGATGTTTGAACTTTGAAGAATTGATAGGTGTAGGAGTGAGTGAGAACGATTGTTGAATTGTGCCCACCAGCATAGCATGGTCGGATACTGGGCACGTAATATATTTTGACAGATATCGGCCCGGACCCAGCCCCTTGCCCAATTAAATGGGTCAAACACGAGGACATGTGCACGCATAAGGCTAACAAATATAAGGTGTTTAGGCTTGTTCTGAAACAAGCGTATCTAAAACAGGTAACACTGCTAAACAATTGATCATGGGGCGTTTGGTGAGGAGATTTTGATATCAATATCTAACTTGACACCCGTCTGAAGCATCGTAGCCAATGCCCAAGCCGAGCTTAAACGGTCCTAGCTTAAATTAGAGCTCACCAGTCTTGACGATATAGTACCAGTAGGCTTACTAGGTGCATTTGGCAGGTTTTTTTTGTGTATGAAAGATCATAACATTGATTCTTGTCCTTTTTACTCCGTACACGCGTAACCCTAAATTTATTAGCATGAGGTTGCATGCACAGATGCAGTGGATACTAACCTTCACGCACTCATATATCATGGGAGTATGCAATTCCATACCAGTCATCGCGAATTGAGCACAAGTACCCCGCCCACTAAATCCTCCGTCTTTGGAACATTCCTAGACTCTGTCAGTCCTCCATGTCTGTAAGGTATGGTGTAGATAAAAACACAGAACATGTTTCCTGGGCAACGCAAGCGCTAGAGAGGCAGAGAACTATCAGGCCTACAACTGTTTTCATATTGGCAATCTTCAAGGATTATCAGGTCTAGGAGAGAGTAAGGAGAATGATTGCTGAATTGTGCCTCCTGGCGGAGAGTAGGACAAGGGTATATACCCAATAGATCTCATCAAGAATCGGCCTGCAGAAAGCTCCCCTACTTGATTGAGCGGCCACATAGGTGGTTATGCTCACCCATAAGTCTGCTCAATATGTAGTAGCCACCTTGACCAGACTTGAGCAGTCCCGACATCTGGGTTCACATAGAGTTTGCCAGGCTCCATGATACGTATGGTATAGTATTCTAGTAACACATGGCTTCACTATCTCTTCCTGGACTCGTTGGGGGATCAAATTTATGGTCTGTCTCTTTACAAGTATGGTTCCGATTCTATTAGCATGATGTTGTATGCAGTAAGTTGATAAGATACATTAACACTCATGCAGGGGTGTGATATGCCTCCAGATTGATCCGTGGTATGGACAGAGTATTCAACACAAACACCAGGCCCAGAATTGGTTAGTTGGCATAGCTAAGCAGGTTAGTCCTCCATGTCTACAAGGTATAGATGAAACACACAGATTCTGGCTTGGCTTGAGCAGTGGAAGCACTGGAAAGGCAGAGGAGAACCAAGCCTACAGCAGTTTATATATTGGCGATCTTAATAGGATTGATAGATATTACAATACATGCAGGAGTGAGTGATGAGGACAATCAGTGATGAAAAATGGGGTAAGATTTTATACTAGATAGGGAGTGTCAGAGCAGTGAGGGTAAGAGATCTCATACGATGGCACACAAGGGCTTGTGAACAACGGTACCGGTAATAGGCAAAGGCCAGATTTATTACGTAATAGGACCCATTAGGCTTCGGTCCGTACAAAATCATCCTCGATCGAGCGACCGTATACGTGGTGGATGGGGTTAATCTACAACGGACGCAATCAACTGCTCAATGGTCGATCGTAGGAGTTCAGTAGACGAGATGTTGAAGTCAAAACTTGCAAAGAATACTGGCTTGTATCTGTCAAAAGACCCGTATTTAGCACAGGACAATGTAGTGTGCGTGGTATGTTTTGCATAGAGGGCACAGCGGTGGACTCCACATGTTGCTGTTTTCCGTATGACAGCCGACCTCTTGTTGATCGACGAAAAGGCCCACCATTCATGATGACTATGATGATCAGTGATCAGTGATCAGACTCAGACTTCGGAAGAAGCCAGTTTCATTGTCTCAAAGTCAGCATGAATCCACTTTATTCATTGGACGTCGCTTTTGGCGGGCTTCCGGCTCTGCCAGAGTGTTAGGCCATAGTGTCTAGCGACTCCCACTGCGGCCAAATCAGCAGAAAGGTGCGTGTAATCCATCGAAGATGCACCGTCTTGACTACTAACATGTTCACCGGAGCGTCCGAGGGCAGAGCGGTCAAGCGTTTGTGGTACTTAGAAACCGATTGTATGTATACAAGGGGCAACCACCGACTTCACACCTATCTATGATATGCATTGCATCTCCCAGGCATAAGCCCAATGTAACGCTGCCAAGATTAGCATCTAGTAAAATTAGAGGCCTCAAAGGGACTAAAGCGTGTTGCGCATCCACGGCGTCGCTGCGAAGATCGCCCCCTCCAACGTTACTTTGGCAGCCAAACTTTAAATGAACAACATGAGGTATGGTATACCGGCATTAGATTCTACCTACAGTAAAGTTAGGCCAAAGCAGCATGACATGATGGAAATTTTGAAAAATCTGGTGTGACGCTGATCGTCCCAGCTCACCATGTTAGACGTACCGCATGGCTCCCCTATTGGAATACTGTCCTCGTACCATGCGTGGCCGTCGCAGTTAAAAAGGTTTACGGGGGAGACAAGGAATACCGTATGAGTTTAATTTAAGAACGACAAAGCCTAATCATCGTGCATGTATTACTGCGAAGAAGTGCAGCTGTACTGGCAGTAGGTAAAGTATATATTGTGTCAGACTGTACCGGTACCTATAAGTACCATTTTACAAAAACTTCATATTAAATCATACCTACACACTGTTTCAGTGATGTTGGCGATGGGTCCACTGTCCGTAACGAACAATCCGTTTGCGAGTTAAAACAAAGCGGCCCATTTCTTTCCTAGCTATTGCGAAATCATACTTGTACTGTGCTGATGACACCAAGCTTCCGCCAGGCACAGGTTATGGTACCTACCAAGCTTCCCTGCTCAACCGAGCGACCAAAAAGGCAAGCCTACACCTGTTTGCCTACCTGTAGTTACCGGTAAAGCGTACTACTATGTATGGTACTGGCCCAGCCCATTGAGTGGTACCACGGCTTCCTTTGCAACACACCTGCTGGTTGCATACACTCTGCGTGCACTTGGTTATACCGTAGGTAGGTAGTCGGAGAACTGGTTTCCATCTTTTGCGCTACAGCTGTAGCGTTACAGGGTAAACTGTCCAGGATTGATTGGTCGTACGGATGTGTCTAAAGCAGATGCCATATCGTCTTCTGCGGGTACATGAATGTGCCTTTTTTTTTTGGTGGAGGGGGCCACTGAATCGCCGGGCAGGTCGATCGCTGCCCTGTCGCGTTATTATTAGCTGAGGCCATCATCCACCTGAGTTAACTACTCCGCCCCCGCCCTCATCGATCCACAGGCACGACGGAGCATTTACGTTGCCAACACTGCCATGCCTCAGAAGTTCCCATGGTCCAAGTCGAACCGGTCGCACAATTCCGTCGACAGCAGCCCGTCAGGACAGCCATCGCCCGTGGCCTCTGGTAAGGCTGGTGGGGTTGGGGGTTTAATAGCTGATGCCGTGGCTGACGAGCAAGCGCTGGCAGTGAACGACGTCGGAGCGCCGCGATTCCAGCTCACGGACGGTCAACCACTACCACAGCAGCAGCAGCAGCAGCAGGCCTCTGCGCAGCAACAGCAACAACAGCCGCAGCCGCATCATCTTCATCTTCTTCATCATCATCATCATCAGCAGCAGCCGCAGCCGCAGCAACAGCAACAGGTGCCTCCAGGTGGCTCACAGGGCCAGTACAGTGAGCAGCAGCAACAGCAGCAGCAGCAGCAACAACAACAACAGCAACAACAACAGCAACAACAACAGCAGCAACAGTATCTGCAGAGAACAGCCAGCCAGACCCACCGGCTCAGCGCACATCTACCCCTCGGCCACCACGCACCGTCAAACCATCAGCAGCCAGCCGGCCCTTCTCAGTCAGGCGAAGGCTCCGACACAGCCCACCGTAGATCCTACCAGCCTCCTTCGACATCCTTATCCTCTGCAGGCCACACGCCTGAGCCCAAGAAGCAGTCGCTCAGCAGCCGCATTGCAGCCGGCGTGCGAGGCCACAAGAAGGACGACGCAGCGAAGCAGGCGCAGAAAAACGGCGTGGCGCGAAGCAAGTCGGTCAGGACCAGCGAGCTCAGAGCGCCAGACTACCCATCATCGCAAGAGGACCACCTTCGTCTCCAAGGGGTGCAACAGTGGCATCAGCGACAGTCGTCCAGTCCGCTTCTCTCCACGTCCGACGAGCACGACGAGCACGACCTCGATCCATTCCTGCAACAGCAAGACGGCCGTATAAACCCTCAGGTGCCACCCAAAGACGTGCAATATCATCTTCAGCAGCAGCAGCAGCAGCAGCAGCAGCCACCACAACAGTACCAGGGTTACCAGCCGCCTGTGCAGCATCCCTCAACCACGCAGGAATACCAGGCCTTCAATCCCCAGAGCGTGCCAAGTCCTCTGCTCCAGAACGCGCAGCTTCATGGGCACAGCGGTCAAGGTCCAGACCCCTCCCAGCAACTGTCACAATCCCAACAAGACTATTACGCATATCAGCACCAGCAAGTGCCTCCCCAGGTACACGGACAGTTGGCGCTAGATCACGCACAACAAAGTCTACACTACCAACAGCAGCAGCAGTCGCAGCTTGTCGCACAACCACAATCTCGTCAGGGTCAAGACCATCCGCAACAGCAGCCTCAGACTGTCCGTCCACCGTCGCAACATCAGAACGAAACACTACATCCACAGGTGAATCGTCAGGCTCCTTTGAGCCTTCAGCAGAGTCAGCAGATCGACGCACAGCAGTCCCAGCAGCTTAGACCACCGTCTTCGAGTCAACCGTTCGCCCCACCGTCACCCCTCCAACCCCAGTCACACCAGCCTCACGACGCACAAAATCCGCCACCGTACACGTCGGAGCCCCACGCGCACAACATAACACCCCCGCAGCAGGATAACATGGCTTCCAAGGGCCAGAGCAGCAACAGGAACACGATGAGAAAGGTCAACGATGGCGGCACGCCAGGTGCGCCTTCGCGAGAGTCTTTGCTCCTTCAACAACCCTTGGCTCAAGGTCAGCATCTCGGTCAGCCGCCTGTATCGCCGGGCCTCGCATCGTTCGACGCTAACGTCGTACCCACAGCTTCACAAGGACAGCCCTATCGAGGGGAGAAGCAAGGCCAGCAAGGACAGGGAGAAGTGGGTCGAGCGACGCCTCCACCACGAACGTCTATCGGTGATATGACGGAGGAGGAGATTGAGAAGATGATGAAGGAGCACGATGTGCTGCGTGAGTCGGACTGGACTGGGAGTGTACAAGGACAGTGGCTAATAAAACGGTTACAGGCGAAAAGTATCAAAAGGTCAAGCGATATTTCTTCGAACAGCAGTCACAGGTCCATCAGCTTCAAAACACGCTTGCCAACCAACGATTGTCTCTGTCGCGCACATCGTGGGATGACAGTGAGTATGCCACTCGGTTCAGTAGACTGGACGGGCTTATAGCGCAACTCTCCTTCTCTATCCGCAAGGACTGGCGGTCGATACCTCCCTGGTTGCAGGTAGCCGTCAACAAGACGGCGGTGGAGACTGGCAAACAAGAAATGACTGCAGTCGGTCGGGCGTTCATTTCCCACTGGCTAGTAGAGAATTTGTTCGACAGGTACTTTCATCCTGATCTGGAACCTGGCTTTTCGTCACAATTGCAGTCTATCGTCTCCAACATTCGCAGGTTCGCACCACCTTGCCATAGCGTGGAGGACGAAGAGTCGCTTGCCGCCAAGATTATCAACTGGCGGTTAGCGACGCTCGAAGGGCTTGCTGACACACTGAGAGCACCCCAAGCCGAGGCACATCGGCAACAACTGACAAACACCTTGAATGAGAAGCTCATCGCATCTCTACAGCTGCACCTCAACGAGCCGGCGCCTGCTGACCTAGCAGGAGGAGTGCCGATGATCGTTGAGCTGGCCGTCAGTATCGCCCAACATTTACCCCTGGAAAGTCGAGAGGTCCATATCGAATACTTTCCGCCTGGACACGGCATCGTGGCTGAGTTGATGAAGATGGAGTCTGGGATCCCCGCGTTGACAGCGCCTATCGTCGAGCTGGATGAGGCTGACCGAGCTTCTTTGAGGAGTGTCGCGTCCAAGATTGATGACGGTGTCTCCCTCGCCGAGCAGGATCAAATGACACAGCCAAAGGAGGACAAGAAGCGTGGCATGTTTAGCTTTGTTGCCTCGAAAAAACCTGCCAGCCTGGGCAAACGTGACTCGTCGCTTGGCCAAGGGGGTAGCCAGCAAAGCCTCACGCAGAACCGGCCGGGTAGCGCGGGTGGAAGCAAGGAGGAGATGCCAGCGCCTCGCGTTCGTATGGCTGTGGGCGTTGCTGTGCAGATTCGCGGCAAGAGTGTTCTGATCAAAGCGCCTGTGTATAGCACATGAGAGAAGCGAGGAGGGGGGAGGACGGCAATGATGATGTTGATGTTGATGTTGATGATGGGCATTCGCGATTGTGCAGCAAGCGATTTGGATATCTCCTTTTCTTTACACGTTGTTCCTGGTGCCTTTTGTGGGACGCAAAAGACATGAAGCTGGGCGGAGATGATGGAAGTAGTTGCAAGTCAGCCAGGGAGGGAGAGTGTAGCGTATGGATTTGCGGAGGGTGTGAATGCTGGTGGTGGAGCCCCTCCGTGCACTCCGATTGGCCGGTTGTGGTTCTGTCCGATTGTTTACTCACCCCAAACATGACCTCACCCATCCAAGCCCCCCCTCCCCCCGCCCCCTCACGTCCACATGCAACTACAATACACACCATGGAAGCCGTCGACGTGTCTCAGCAATTCACCGGTACATGTCCCTCTTCCCTCTTGCGTCTTCCGTGCCACACAACAAACCCCTGACGCAGCACGCAGCCACCTCCCATGCCGTCCCCTCACCCACCGCATCCCACCTCGCCTTCCTCTCCCATGGCCGCCTCCAGATCCGCTCCCTCACCAGCTTTGACCTCATCCGCAACATCCCCCTCCCTTCTTCCCACAATCTCCGCCACACTCGCATCGCATGGTCCCCGCCTGTCCTCGCATCCCTCTCGCGACGGCCGTCATCGTCATCGGTGTCCACACCTCCTCGTCGCTCCTCGCCTCCACCCCAGCCCCGCTCGAACCGCCTCCTCGTGACCGACGACGACACGACGCGCGTCTACGACCTGCGCGACGAGAAATGGAGCGCCGTGGTTAGCAATGGCTCGGGCGGCATGGGCAAAGTCGCACACGTCGAGTTTGGCGCCACCGAGGACGACGTGTTGGTGTGGAGCGAGTTTTGTGCGGCGGTCAAGGCGTGGTGTTTGAGGAGTGGGCGGTCGGTCGAGATTAGGGATCCCAAGTTTGTTGGCCGCCATGGACGCGGATGGGGCCTGAGGCCGTGGGATACTCGTGGTGCGAGAGAGGGTCGAGGCCGGGTCATGGCGCTGCTGTGTCGAAGCGCAGGCCTCGACATTCTCATGATTTTGGCACCGCGCACCTACGCAGTCGTCAATCGCGTGGAATTGCCTACAGCCGACGCAGCAGGCTTGAAATGGAGTCGCGATGGTCGCTGGCTGGGCATCTGGGACACCGCCTCGTCTGGCTACAAACTGTACATTTACACGGCAGACGGCCATCTCTACCGCACCATAACGCGCGAGCCGGCCGCCGACTCCGACGTTGAGGCAAATGAGCAGCACACAATCGAAGGCCTGGGCATCAAGAGCGTGGAATGGGTGCCAGGCAACACATACCTCGCCATTGGCGGCTGGGACAAGCGCGTCCGCATCCTCTCCGCGCGCACCTTTGCCCCCGTCGTCTTCCTCGACCACACGCCCACCATCCACGTGCCCAGCGCGCCAGTCTACACGGAAGCCGTCGACGCCCAGGGCACCCGGACCTACAGCCTCACGCCACAGCCCACGACGCCGCCCAAAGTGGCACTGGAAAAGAATGAGTCACCGCTGATGAAGCAGGGCATCAGCCTGCTTGCTTTCAACGCAGATGGCACCCTCTGCGCCACACGCGACGATGCCAGTCCCGCGACGGTGTGGATCTGGAACTTGCGCAGTCTGAGCCCGAGCATGATTTGTATACACTTCGCCCCGGTTCGCCAGCTCCTGTGGCACCCGCAGGATCCCTCACGCCTGCTGATTCAGACGGCGCCAGAGGTGCCCGTGGTGTACTTGCTTACACTTGCGCCCGTGGGCTTGGCTTGTCCGTCTGCTGCGGCTTCTACGTGCGCAGCGGAGGAGAATGGGAATCGGAATGCGGGCTCGTCGATGTCGTTGACCCCACAACCCCCAGCTATCCTCACTCTCGCCCCTCATCTCGCCAAAGCCCAGGCGTCTAGTTCTACATGGCCAGCTACAGCTACTGCAACATCAACATCCTCAACCCCATCCCCACCCCCCAAACACACACTCCACTGGCTCACACCCCCCACCACCACCCCCTCCTCCCCCCTATCCTTCCTCCTCTCCCACACCCACGCCCACATCATCACATGGCCCGCAGGCAACCACAAACCCGACCTCACACCCACCACCGACTGCAAAACCCAAATCCACACCTCCATCCAATCTCATCACCCCGAGACTCCAACCGATCCCCACATCAACCCGAAAGTTCACGCCGACTCCGATAGCGACGATAGTCTGTATGAGATTTTGACGGGGAGGAAGGCACGGGGTGCGGAGGGGGTGTGGTTTAGTAGGGATGGGGTGGAGGGGGTGGAGGATGAGGATGGGGAGGTGGATGGGGAGGGTGTTGGTGAGGACGAGGATATAGTGGGGGATTTGGATGACACGTTTCGTGCGAAGAGGAGGGATGCTGGTGTTGTGCGTGATGAGAGTGTGTCTGTGTATGATGATGGCTACGGCGATGGCGATGATGATCTCCATACTCACGCTACACACGCACACGCATACCACACTCACACACACGCCCCAGGACTAGGCGAAAGTGGTCTAGATGAAATGTTCTAAATCGTACATGTATAAACTGCGAGCACGCAGCTTGGTGGGTATACAACGAAGCGACATGTTGACGTGGATGATGATGAATTACTCGACGTGACAGGACTGGACTATGGGAGATGGGATGGATGGGATGGATGGGATGGATGGGATGGATGGGATGGATGGGATGGATGGGATGGATGGGATGGGATGGGATGGATGGGATGGGATGGATGGGATGGGATGGGATGGATGGGATGGGATAAGATAGAATAGAATAGGATAAGATATACCACACCTCCCCACGCTACAAATCAATATCTTGAAATATAGCTTCACGCGGTAGAGTAGCTTACACAATACAATAGCACATGTATGTTTCTTGTTCGAGGGTAAGTGATATCTCCTCTCTTCTTTTCTATTCATCCATCTATTCATCTATATCCATATCCACATCCACATCCACATCCATCCCAGCTAGTCCAGCTAGTCCAGCTAGTCCAGCTAGTCCAGCTAGTCCAGCTAGTCCAGCTAGTCCAGCTAGTCCAGTCCTACATTCGCACACGAGGGAAAAGAAAAGAAAAGAAAAGAAAAGAAAAGAAAAGAAAAGAAAAGAAAAGAAGAAAAAAATTCCCATCCCGAGGGTAAACGAGGAGCGTGTATATTTTTCAAAGGCAGAAATGGCTTGAAATGCTTGAAATGCTTGAAATGCTTGAAATGCGTGAAATGCGTGAAATGCGTGAAATGCTTGCAAGGCCAAAAGACAGGCTAGCCGTGCGTCGGTGAAATAATGTGTAAAACATGAATGATTGTCCGACTGGACGAAATGCTCTGGCAACAGTACTCTAAACAGCAAGACTCTTGACGAATTCTGGTCTACGGCAACATCACTTTGCACACTGCACAAATACTTTGCCAACCTCAACATCACCCACTGCAAATCAAGCAAATCACAAATCAAGCAAATCACAAATCAAGCAAATCACAAATCAAGCAAATCACAAATCAAGCAAATCACAAATCAAGCAAATCACAAATCAAGCAAATCACAAATCAAAAAGCAAGCAATCAAGACAATCATGATGCATTTCCCGGAATCACATTCCCAGAGCCACCGACATGGACATCATGCATGCACATAGCCCGACCTCGAGTCCGCCGCAGCCATGGCAGCAAAAAGACTACAGCCTAGCTTGCTGACCAGTTTTGTATCAACGCCCGGCCACCCGCACAGAAAGTAATGGAGAGAATAACCGTCTGCATCATTGTCCTTGGACCCCTTGGACGCCACCCCATCAAGCACTCTAATCCTTGGTCTTTTGAGTACCACGGAGCAGACCCGTCCTCCTCGCGGCAATGAGACCCGCCTTTTGACCCTGCACGGCGTACCGCGAAATCGTAGACGCCTTACCGATATGCTGGTGGTTACCACCACCGTGGGGATGGTCGACGGGGTTCATGGCAACACCACGAGTCCTTGGCCAGCTGTTGCGCTTGGCAGCGAACTGGAGACTGTCAGCGACTGTGGCAGGTGAGCATCGTCAAAAACATACCTTGTGCTTGGCACGCGACGCCTTCATCAGCGGCTTGTCTGTGCGTCCACCTCCAGCAACGATACCAACCATACCACGGCACGAGCTGGGGAGAACCTTCTTGGCGCCAGATGGGAGCTTGACACGCGTCTTGCCCTCGTCGGGGTTGTGGCCAATGACGGTCACGTAGTTACCAGAGGTACGACCGAGCGCGCCACGGTCGGCGGCCTTGTCTTCGACGTTGGTGAGGACGGTACCTTCGGGGACGGAGTGGAGGGGCAGGATGTTGCCAATCGTCAGAGCAGCATTCTTTCCGGCGTAGATGAACTTTGCAAATATTAGCCGTCATTGTCCCGCTCGTGTGCGCCTTGCGGTCCCCACTAACCTGGCCAGTGTACATGCCCTCGTTCGCAATAAACGTCTGCGTCTCGTGCTTGAACCGGTATGGCTGCGAGCATGGTTAGAATTGCGGCTGGAGAAAGCAGGAAGCGCGGCTCAATCGTACGTTGCGGAAGGTGACCCTGGCAAGAGGAGCGCCTGTGAGAAGAGAATTAGCTGAGCGTCCAAAAGCGCAGCACGAGCACCGTGGGCTACTTACCACGACCGGAATCGTGAACAATCTCCTTGACTACACCCCGAATGTATCCATTGCGCTCAGCCTATACAGCCAGTTAGCCAACCCTTCTCCCTTCACGGCACACAAGTTCCATTGGCGAAGCCGTGGTGGGCACTGGGTGGTGTGGTGCGATGCGGCGAACGTACATAGTCGAGCGTGCGGAACTGGGCCGGAGCCTTGTTGAGGCGGGTGTTGGCCGTGAAGATCGAGCCGCGACCCTTACGTTGGTTGCGAATAACCCTACCCATCGTGACGGTCTTGTTTGTGAGTAGGAGGTGTCGATGGGGGAAGTTCGTCGAGGTCAAGGCGGGTGGGCAAATTCGAAGGCACCGCACACTCGCTAAACAACGCCGATTAGGACTAGCCCCGCCAAGACGCAATGGCCACCAACACCATACAGATGGAGGATGCTGGATTGTATGGACGAGGACGTGTCGACGGCATGCTCGCAACTTATTCGCATCTCAGATAGTCTACTGCGATACACAGTGGATATCATTCTCGTATACACACAACGATGCATTCCTCTTCATCCTCACTCCAACCATTTTTTAAAACATATAAAGCCAATCCACATCTTCAACACCACCCACATACTAACTTCAAGCAAATCACATGCATCACATCTTCCATTCCCCCATAATCTAATCAGCTCTCATCCATACTCCCAACCATCTCTACATCACCCTCCTCATCCCCCTCCACCACCTCCTCCCCACCCGTCCTATAATCCATGTCCAACACCCGATAATGTTTCCTATCGCTCCCAACCACAACAACCACCCTCCTCCCCTTGCGCCCATTCACCACCAACTTCAACGGCGTAAATCGTCTTTCAAACACATGTCGTGTGTGTTTATCCACCATCGCTCGGGGAACCTGCGTTGTATTTGGAGGTGTGGGGGCGGGCGCGGAAGGTAAGAGGGAAGGAGAGGGGAGGGTAGTGTATTGTATGATTTGCTGTGCAGATGTGGTGGTAGAGGATGGTAAAGTGTACGGCAGAGAGATGAGAACGTTTGATATGTCGGATTTGTCTTTCGGGGCTTTGGACGGGCTGGATTGGAGGAGGATAAAGATTGTCCTGTCGTCTGCGAATTTGGCGTCGAGGATGGTGGTTTTGGTGGAGGGGCGGGAGAAGTCGAGGGTTGAGATGGCGTGGGTGTGGGTATCTTTTGACAGAGAAGTGGTTGTGTTGGAGGTGGGCGTGATGCGGTGGATAGACAGTTGACCTGGTTTGAAGGGTGACATGAGGGCGATATATGTTGAAATCGAATTCGATTTTGGCTGCAAGGGCATGTCAGCATAACGAAAAGAAGGAAAAATACTAAAGGACACTCTTCCCACTGAAATGGTGACCGTCAATAAAAAAAAACTCACCTCAAAAACCATCCTCATATCCACCTCCTTTTCCTCCTCACTCCTCTCCCCCTCCGCAAGCACAAACCCTCCATCCATCTGTACCCCCTCCTCCAACCACCTACTCACCTGCCTCAACAGCCCTTGCACCCCCATCCTCAAATGCCCAGCCACATGTTCCAAACACAGCGCCTCCTCCTTGAACCCCCCACCCTCCTTCAACAATTCAACCGCCCTCTTCGTATCCTCATAACTCGCCGGCTCCGCGCCTCTCGCCCGTGTATTAAGCTGCGCTTCGGGCCGCAGGTACGGCTCGAGATCGCTCTTCATGAGCCCATGTTTGATGTACTCGAGAACATGCGACATATCGACGCCAGGCTCACGCTGCTCCATTTCAGCGCGCGACGCGCTTTCCGGCTCCGTGGCCTCGAAGTCGATGATGAAGCGGAGCCATTTGGCAAAAGCATGAAACTGTTTCTTTTCCTCGCTCGCGTACAACAACGTCGTATGCGCCAACAGTCGCATATTCTTGAGCACTTCGAGCAAGGCGGAGAAATCCTGCATCGGGGAGCTGAATATCCAGTCTCGGTCGTGGAACTGTGCGAGGCCGCGGAGGCGCGACACGACGATGCTGCAGCGATCAAGAGCCGGCAGAAGATTCTCGTGGAGCAGGGCCAGAACTTTCTCAAGAGCACCGCTTACGGTGCTGTCCCAGCGCTTGTGACCCTGTTCGGCGAGTTCGTCTACGAGCCATTCGTGCATGGTGGGTGAGGTGTTGCCGGTACACGCTATGTGGAAGAGGTTTGTCACAAGGTCCCCCTGGGCCTTTTCTTCGAGCGTCTCGGAGATGTTCATCATGAATTTGCCGGGTAGGTCGGTCGACTGCTTGAAGAAGGAGCGTATGCGTTGAAGCGTCTGTGTAATGTACAAGAGTAGGTTTTGCAGCTGTGCTGTCTTCGAGGCGATGAGGTGCAAGTATATCCCAGCAGAAGGTATGAAATTCAAAGTAAGTGGGACGAGGGTAATCTTCTGCTTGCGCGGTGATGCAGGTGATGTGATGCGCATCAGCAGGTTGTGCGTGCAGCTATAAGGATGACTTGTATGCAGCAGCGGCATGCTCTCCATATTCCACGCCCTCGGTAGCTGTACACTGACCGTCTCAAGTGAATCATATATCGAAGGGTGTACCGTGCCCCGATCCGAACACCTAATAAACATGTCCACTGAGTTGTGATCTTTCAGATGATGCGAATGCAACAGCGCATCAACCTCTGCCTGAGTACTAAACGCGCCAGCATCCAAAGCCGATGCACGCATAAACGGGAGCGCAGGCGGTAAAGGAATGGCAGCAAGTTTTGGCAGCAAGGCCTCCATATCCATCATGGCAAGTTGATCTGGTAAATCGGGTGCAATGTCCAGGGCCTGAAAGTCTGGCTGCCGTTGCAGGAAATCCTCCAGGGTGGTATCGTCCTTGAAAGCGTCCCAATCCTCCGTCGTCGGGTTTCCAAAGTCATCCGTCAGAGTGGTTGACGCGCCATTGGTCTTTTTCGCTTTCATACCCGTCCTCTTCTTGACAGCATCCACATTGATGAAATTGATTCCCCAGCCCATGCATTTCACCCTAGGCGCGGCATCCTCTTCCATGGCATCTCCCTGCTCCAGTAGACACGGCAACTTGACATCTCTATGCGTCACCTTCCCCGTCTCCGCACTAACAAGATCTGTAGACCCATCACTCCAGCCAACCGCAATACTCTTGCCATTAAACTCCCATTGCAACGCATAAACAGACAGCTCCTCGCTCTTCCGCTTCAGTCCAAATGCTCGTTGCCCATTGATGCGATACACATCGAGATTTTCCTCATCGGTGACTAGAGCAATCAAGTCCATGGTAGGGCAATAGGTGACCAGGTGCGGGTGAATGGGATGGAGCAGGATTTTCTCTGCTTGCTGGAGCAACTGGCGTTGTTTGGGTTCATCTGTGGTCGTCATCTTCATAAATTGGGCGGCCCCTCGGAGGCCGGAGGTGTTGATTTAATTTGTGTGTTTGCTCGACGGCGGTTGCTGTAAAGATGTATGTGCAGATGCGCGTCCTAATATTGTCTAAGCCCCGACTGGTCTAGCGCATTCACGAAGTCACGTTAATGGGAAGGCGTGTTCATCTTTATAAGTTCCACCACGCATTCATCCATGGCACAGGTAATACACCGGCATGTAGACACAATGTGCTTTCTCCACATTCTGCAAAAGTAAACTTCGCTTGAATGTATTCAACATGCAAAAACAAAGGAAATGTGGTATCATTGCGTGCTCTCCATCGAGCAGACGCCCTCTGATCATCATCGTACAAGATACACTGTCGCTTCCCATAGCGTTGTCATCAATGTTCCCCATACAGTATGTATGTCACGGGTAAACTCAAAGAAACGACCAAAAACGCCGCGACGCAAAAAAAAAAAAGATCCCCTACCGCAGGCCAGCTAAACGGCATCCTTGAAATGCACAAACCGTACGCCAACCCATTCCAATCCATTTTCCATCCCTCCCCCCTAAGATGCGAATGAGAATCATCTCAGTGACAGATTCCTCTTCGGTTGCACCAACTCTTTCTGCACCCTCCCCCTACCTGTCCCACTTAACCTCCCATTCAACCTCTCCTCATCAAAACTAGTCCGTTTCGAGCCCTCAAGCTCGTCACTGTCGTCTGCCAAATCGCTCAGCTCGAACTGATTTTCGACATCGTAATCATGCATCAGCGCGCCGCGATCTCCCGCATCTGCATAACTCGCACGCCCCGAGCGAAGCGCACCATTGGAAACGCGGCGTTCAAACATGAGTTCCTCGCTGCGTCGCGCCTGCATACTACGGCGAGTGGGGAAGCCAGAGATGGCGTCCGAGGGCGCGCCGTCGGTAAAATGGGAGCCAAGATGTTTGTTGCCGTTGGGGTCTTCGCGGCTAAGGTTGAGCAGATAGACGCCCGAGAAGATGATGAGGAAGCCGCAGAGGAGGGAGATGGTGTTGACGGCGGATGTGGTGTTGAAGCCTTGGAAGAGGAGACAGGATGCGATGAGGGTGCAGGTGGTGAAGCAGACGTAGTAAAGGGGGTTGACACTGGCCCGGTATTAGCGAGTGCGCGTTTCGTCAAATGTGAATACGTGCATGTTGGTTGTGAACTGGCTCAAGGCCTTGTTGAAGTAATTCATCTGTGTCAAAATGCAGCCTGCGACTAGGATGATGAAGACATAGGTCGAAGGGTGTGTGAACTGGTTGTTGCCAGCAAACGTCATCTTGAGCGCAATGCCAAACGCCTTGATGAACATGATGGAGACGGAGCCGGTTGTCGAGCAAATCGAAAGGTAAACGAGCGGGTTCTTGCGACCGTATTTGGGCGCAATCTTGTAGATCATAAAGATGGAGAAGATGGCGACAAAGGTGCAGTAAAAGAGGAAGCCTAAGGACTCCCAAGTTAGACGCTGCGCTCCTCAGCCCACACCCGGATCTTCCAACCTACCAGGTTGTAGCGCCAGATTCAAAATCTCTTCCACAGACTGAACCTCCTTGTCCGGCGGCGCATGCAGCACAATAATCACCGATCCGATCAGACAGATTGCGCACCCAATCTTGCCCAACAAGCCTAATTGTTCGTCGAGGAAGTAGGCGCCCAGCACTGCCCTATCCTCCTGTTAGCCCCCATGAGCGCACGGCAACCTGAGAGACCACATACCCAATGAGCACAGAAAGCGCTCCGAGGGGAGTCACCAAGATGGCAGGAGCAAAGGCGTATGCGGCGAAGTTGAATATCTCGCCCACGACCATGGTCGTAATGCCAGCCCACCACACCGGATTTTGGAGATAACCGAAGCCGTCGCCATTGAAGCCATTCTTCTCTATCGAGGCGTTGAGACCCTGTGGATGCACCTGTTAGTGCTTGTGTTCCTTGTCCAAACCACCCTCATTCGCTTCGCCATGTCGTCTGCTATCGGATCGATCGAATCTGGGCGCAAGGAAGGGAGGGGAGGGCAAGGCGGCGACGTACTTTCTTCGTGATGACGAAACTAGCACCTGTTGCACCTGGTTAGTTGATGTCGCCCAGCACACGAGGTAAGAAGAGCCATTGCACGAGGACATACCAATAGCCAGCGATGAGCTCACGGCCAGCATAAGCCCAACATATCTGTCTGCAGCGTCAGTCCCGTACTTGCACCCAATCTCGCTTTGGGCAACAGGCAAATCCAGGCCGTGACGTACTTGTCTTCCACCATGATTGCCGCGAGGAAGGTCTCAGCGACCTGTCGTGGTCGTGCCTGTGTTGCGCCTCACGCCTCACTAGGAATAGGACCGTTTATCGAGCGTCCAAGCGGGAGAGAGTTGTGGCGCGTGACGTAACCGGGAGCTCGTGGTCCAAAGTCGCAGTCGTGCGGTTGCGTCGCAAAAGGAAACGGTCGTGCAAATCGAGTTGATTGTATAGTAACAAAGAAAGGCAGGGGTGCTCGTTGAGGCGGGGTGGCGTCTAGTGTCGTGGCTTCTCCTTTGATTGTGGGGATGTGTTTATGGAGAAGAGCGGAGGGGTGGGGAGAAGTGTGGTGTGGCAGCAGACGCGGAGCCAGGGCGAAACTTTGGAAGCGACAGGATAGCGGAGCAGCGATGCGACAAGACGACTGACGGACCCACGCTCGTCCTCGTGCCAATGCAGGATCGAACAACGTGTAGGTACCGGTGGGCAGCTGATTACAGTTACGGAGAAAAGGACAAAGAGGCAAGATGTACCTAGGTAGGTAGGGAGGGTGTATAGGCAGGGTGTAATGTGCGCAGCGATGCACGTTTCACCAAACGCCTGTCTGTGTTCCTGGCGCACAAGATACTAGGGTCTGCTGGGGAAGGGGAGGGGAGGGGAGGGGTCCTGTTGTGTCGAGCGAGTGTGGGAGAAGAGCAAGCCCCAAGCCAAGCAAGCCAACCCAGATGCAAAGCAGCGCTTGCTGATAGCCGTAGCCGTAAACCGTAACTCTCTCCGTCTCGTCTGGAGAGGCGTAGGGAGAGTAGTAGGCTTGTAGTGGGCCAAAAATACAAAAGGGAACCAGACCACCAACCACCAGAACAGAAAGAAGAACAAGCGAGTGAGCGTGCCGTGTCGTGTCGTGTCGTATCTCCCACCTGTGTGCATACAACAGTGGTCGATGACAGCAACAACAGCAACCAGAGGCGACAAGAAAACTCCCAATCCTTTGAGTTTGAGAGTGGAGGAGGAACGAGGGATGAGGAAAGGATAGTAGCAAGAAAGTAGAACAGAGGGCGGTACCAGACAGAGTTGCCGGGAAAAGGTGTCTAGAGTACATGGAGTACGTCAGGCCAGGTACCCCCCCGTACCATGGAGAGGGTGTGCCTAGACAGTAACAGTAACAGTAACAGTGCTCTCTCTATACGTCACTAAGTCAGATCTGATCGGCAGCGGCCGCTCTTTGGCACCGAACCGAGTGCGTAGGTACTCCTACAATCTGGCTACCTACCTATATCGTACAATAATACCACGAGGCCCCCCCCCCCAAAAAAAGATGCAGACAGAAGAACCGTAGTATACCCGCAAGACTCGGCATCCCCCAAAGAGGTCTGCAAAACGTCCCAACAGAAATAGATGCTGTGGTGGGATTAGGTAAGCCGTGTCCCTCACAAGACACAGACACACTCTCTCTCACACACACCTACTGTTTACAAACACATATACACACACACACACACATACACACAGAGGAATACCATCTAGCTACACAGTCAAGTAAAGCTACACGGTTACACCACCAACCCACTACTCGCAGCCAAAACCCCAGCGCCCTACCTACCCAGCCCCTCCCTGCATCGCCCTGCCTCGCCCAGCAGCCCCAGCCCAGCCCAGCCCAGCCCAGCTCCCCTCCACGATACGAACGCCCTTCTATCCCCACACCAAGCCACCACCACAATCGCCACAAGTTTTTTAATAGTCGTCTCTTTTGGCCAGTTTTATTTTGGGCTTGGCATCATGGCTGGCTAGCTGGCAGACAAACGAATAGCACCTCCCCACCTCACCAGTCCCATCACACAACCCAACCCCAACACACACAACACACCACCCAAAGAAAACAGCCGTGCACAAGTCACAAAACATCAGCAGCATGCCGTCACAAGAGTCACGCAAAACACGAGTCAGGCCTGGATTCTGAGTAAACGTCTTCGTGTTTCAGTGTTTCAAACTTCCCCCGTCCTGTCTTGTCTGATTGTCTGTGTGTGTGACTCCGTCCGTTCCCGCGCCGGAGTGAAAACCAGCCGAGCGCCCGGGACAAGCATGCCCTTGCCCTGCCGCGTAATCACTCCGAGCCAATCTAATCCTGCCCGATCCGTCCACAACAATGTCCCCACCATGCTCCGCTTCCGCATCGAACCTTGCTTGTGCTGGGTATCTTGCCGAATGAGGAGAATACAGCCACTTTCGTTGTGCTGTCTGCCCATCTTCGCCATTAACGCCCCGAGAGAATAACAATCCAACAACCAACTGTGTTTCCCCAAGCAGAATCACATGCCCTCAAAATCCCCCAAAATTGGCCCGAGACGGCCCATGAGAAGAGAAAACCGGAATCGCAACAGCAGCAGCAGTGAAAAAGAAAAAAAAAGCCCATCAAGTTCCCATGGATGGTGGGTGGGAACCCTCACGACTTACTCACCTACCAGCCTTCTCCTGCAAGTCCACAAAAGAACCTGTCGTTTTCGTCGTTCATGCGCAATGCTTGTTGTAGTCGTCGTGCCGCACTAGAGAGGGAGAGGAACCGATAGCTAAGTTAGTAGAATAATTAGTAAAGGGGATTCGGCCTGGCCGAGAATGTATACGAGATCCAGAAAGAAGCCCTTCGACCTGCTGTTTGAGCATAGAGTCGAGATGCTGTCCAGAGTAGAAATTGACGAGACGGACGTAGAAAAGAAAATTACAGCTGGGCGTTAGTAACACGCGAAGGGGATACAGACTCGGAGAGTCGGAGGGGCTTCAAACTTTGGGCCGCTTAGTGTCTGTTATGCAAGATTAGTACACACAACGTCGACAAGTCACGGATCACGTACCTATAGGTTCGAGTGCATCGTCAGCCCCGTGTCCAGCCTCGTCAATGGACCTCTTTCGTCCTTGTGATGACAAGTTCTTGGCTTCACTTGACGAGACTGCAGCGGTTGCATCCGAAGTCACCGCGGCCACGTCTTCAGCCACACCGACCTCCTTGTCATCAACATAGTTGACATCATCGTAAACGAGCACCGACTTCTCCGGCAGGCTTGTCTCAGGCTCCTGCGCTGTGACCCATTCGGCTGCATTATCGTCATTCAGAAAAGCGCCCGACTCGCTGTAGTCTTCGTCGGCAAAGTCTTCGTCCTTGTATAGCTCACTCTCATTGTTCATGTTGAGCTGCAGTTGCTCGTCGGTTGTTTCATAGTCATGTTCGGCAAGGTCTTCGTTAGTGTTATTGCCGTGTTGATTGGCCTGACAAAAGCTGTCCTCTCCTTCAGCCACGTCCGCTTCGTAGTCTTGATATACATAGTCCTGGAACGACTGAGTGGCAGCATCATTGCTTTCCAACGCATGCTGTTCAAAACTATGGTCAACATCTTTAGTCTCTTGTGGCTCCGACTCCTGAACGTCCGCATTCGATGAGCTTGCAGGGTGAGTATTGTCTGCATCATTGGCAGTCTCTTCACCCTGGACAGTAGAGGAGGATGGAGAAGACGCTTTCACAGATGCATTTTCGGTCGTCTCGGCAGGAGTTTGTTCGTCATCATCACTATAATCAACAAGATCGTCTTGCTCTTGCGCGCGCCGTGCCTCTGCCTCGGATACTGACTCAGTCGTGTTCTTCACGAACTCGTCATCCTGTGGATATGATAATTCCTGCTGTTCATCAGGCGCAAAGCTAGCATCAGCACTGTCATCGGCAGCAGAGACTAGCGGGTCCTCATGCTCATACTCTGCGCGTCTCTGATTTTCATAGGGAATCTCTTCAACGCTGTTGTGTTCTTCGTGGTCATACTGCTGACGATCATCGTGCTCATGACCTGCGTCGAGTCGCTGACTTGCACATTCAGTCTGATCTTCCTCTTGTTGAAATTCACTCTGCGCTGAGTCCTCTTGACCCTCGGTAGCAGCATCGTTTTGCTCTTCATTATACCAGTCAGACACTTCTTCGGTTGGAGATTCAGAAAACACGTTTGTAAAATGTGTTTCACCAGCGGCGACGGCAGCGTTTAGTGCAGAGTATCCAAGACCCTGATCAGCGAATTTTGCAATGTCGGAAAGCAACGTGGCGAAGCGTGGTCGAAACAGTAATGAGATATAGAATGACTCTGGGGCGTTATTACCATCTTGCGCTTGTAGTGTGTGGTACAAATCGACTAATTTATCCAAAGAGACAGCTACACAGGCAGTGTTGTCTTCATAAAGTTCCAAGTTATGTAGGTGATCAAAGCGGAAGCCAATCTCGTGCTCGGTTGAGACATCATCTCCTAAGGAAGCGCGACAGGCTTGGAAAACGTCGGAAATTCTAGACCTTGTGAGAGAGATGTCGTCCAAGAGCCAGTCACCACTGTCATCCGGGTCGTGCTGTTTAAACAACCACAGCTCATTACCAGCATAGTTTACAGTGATTGACCTTACTTCGGATGACTTGTCCTCATAGCGGTCTTGATGCTCGTCATGCTCATCATGTTTGCCGTCTTCATTTACATGCTCATGCTCATCTTCATCTTCATTGAAAAACTGCTCCGTTGTCTCATCGTAGTATGTCTGTTCTTCAGTCTGATCGTACTCGCCTTGGGCGTTCTTAGTGGGGCTGTGATCTTCTTGAAGGAGAACGGCATCTGTACTGTTGGCGTCTCCATGAGCTGTCGACTCTTCATGAGGTTGATCGGGGGAATGAGGCTGATCATTGGTTTCGTCAGCATTGGTGTTGTATTCCTCGTCTTCCCTTTGACTGGGTTGTTCGGTCTGCTCAACATGCTCGCCAGTTGCAGTTTCCGAGACCTGTGGTTGATCTCCTTCACGCACGGGGTCTTCGGGTTGCTCTACGACATGCTCTTCGACATGCTCTTCGGCTTGCTCTTCGACTTGCTCTTCGATTTGCTCTTCGATTTGTGCTCCGACCTGCTCTTCGGGTATCTCGGCCATGTCCTCCTCGTGACTCTCCATGGACGCGTATGTCGGCTGCTCGCCCTCATCATCAGAGTAGTCGATGAGGTCCTCATCCTGAGGTGCCGGCTCGGGCGCTTGCGAAACAGCGGCAGGATCGGCGGAGGCTTGTTCTACTATGACTGGGTCATTGTTGTCGGCGTACATGTCATCTTCTTCGATGACATCTTCAGGGTCAACCATGAAATCATCTTGCTCTTCAAAATCAGGCTGACCATTATTTCCAGCATCTGATGCTGCATCGATAATGGACACATCATCGTCTGCTTTGTGAGACACGGGCGCAGACTCCAAGTCCAACTCGATGTCGCCATCGCCATCGCCAAAGTCAATACCGCCGTCAGAATGCATGTCCATGTCGTCGGGTGCTGGCACATCCAGACTGGACATGATGTGCGCAGCGGTGGCCATCTTGTAGTCTTCAAGGAATGCGCGAGATTTGTGAGACGTTGTTTGTGGTGGTACACTTGGACACGCAAACAGGCCAGTATGCTAGGCGCGCCGCGCGTTGGCAAGTTGTTGTCGCTTAGCAGTGGCCGAGCGAGCCGGAGCGAGCAGCAGCGTGCAATAAGTACCCAGTAGCGCACTGAACAACTAAGAGTGCATCGCCGCGCGTTGGAAGAGTGTTGGCAGGGCGTGAAGCTGTGTGAAGAAGAGGGCAACAAGGGGAAGTTGGCCGGAAATGAGACAAAGAGGAGGGGGAAGAGTATGGTACTCGGGTATTACGTGTGGCTTGAGCGTCAATCGGCAAGTGGCAGGCGAAAGTACTGTACCACACCCTTGAACTTGAAAAGACGTGACAAAGTCAACGAGCTCGAGGGGGAGGGAAGGGAGAAAGAGGTTAGTGGTGGGAAGGTAGAAAAGAGGGTTCTGGGGAGGAGGGGCCCCAAGATTACAATAGATAATATAAGCTACGAGCGTTGGTGGTGGTGGTGGTGGTGGTGGTGAAGGACGCAAACTCACAGTGAAGCTTGAACAGGAGGAGGAGGGCGCATTGCACAGTGTGGCGCTAGGCAGTTGCAATCACGTGACGTGCAAGAAGGTGTCCACATCGGACCCTCCAGCCCAGCAACTTACGCATAGCGGGCCTGTCTGTCATCTGAACAGCTTACCTGGTGGCCAAAGTCGACAGGAAGGAATTCACAGTAGGGCTCCTCTCAGCCTATATTGCACCTCTCTCAACTTCTACCCTGTTCATTCCCTTGCCCCCTTCCTCCACCACCCATTGAAGCATTCTTGCAGTGAGAGAGAGCGTGTCGTTGTTCCGCAATTTCGCAACCCTCGTCCAACATCCCCACCACTCCCTACACTACGCACTTAGGACACGACAGCGCAACATCAGGGCTGCCATACAACTACGCAGCACACCTCTCTCTCTCTCTCTCTCTTATTGGCGCCCTCCATCCTCGATCAGCAGACCCAATTGACTGTTCAGCACAATGGTATGTGGAGCAGCGGTTTCATTTCACCATGCCACTCTACATCAAAGCTGACACTCGGCCAGGTTGTCCTCGCAGCCTCAATATGCACAAGAGGCGGCAAGGCGGTGCTCTCCCGCCAATTCCGCGAGATGCAGCGTTCTCGCATTGAAGCCCTCCTCGCATCTTTCCCCAAGCTCGCCGACAGCGGAACTCAGCACACCATCGCCGAGCAGGACAATGTCCGCTACGTCTACCAACCGCTTGACGAACTCTACATGGTCCTAATCACCAACCTGCAATCCAACATCTTGCAGGACATCAACTCATTGCACCTGTTCGCCCAGGTCGTCTCCTCGATATGCAAGTCCCTGGACGAGCGCGAGATCCTCAGGAACGCTTTCGAGCTTCTGACCGCCTTTGATGAGATCGTCACGCTGGGCTACCGCGAGAACCTCACCATGAGCCAGATCAAGACCTTCTTGGACATGGAGTCTCATGAAGAGCGCATCCAGGAGATCATTGCGCGCAACAAGGAGCTTGAGGCTTCAGAAGAGCGTAAGCGCAGGGCGAAGCAGCTGGAGATGCAGCGGAAAGAAATGTCGAGGTCTCAACGGGCAGGTGGTGGCATGGGCGGTGGTATGGGTGGCGGAATGGGCAGTGGCATGCCGAGTCGGTCACCTTCATATCCTGCTTTTACGCCCAGTGTGCCCACAACCAATGTGACGGACTCGTACGACAGCTACGAAGCAGTCAAGAAGGCGAGCTCCAAGCCCATGGCATTGGGCAAAAAGGGTATGCAGCTTGGCAAGAAGAACAAGACGAACAACATGTACGAGCAAGTCACTGGCGAGCAAGCACCAATGGAGGAAGAGCCACTGGTCGCACCCAAGTCTGCGCCTTTAGCTGCCGCCCCAGCAAGCGCACGCCAGTCTATCTCGACCGACCGCGAAGCCGTACATATCGCGACTGTGGAGACCATATCCGCGCGCCTAGACCGTGAAGGTGCGCTCAAGCACTTCGAGGTCAAGGGAGACATGCAGCTCAAGATTACCGATCCTTCCTTTACACAGATCAAGCTGGATCTTGCGACAGGCGACACTCGCGGTGCACAGCTCATGACACATCCCAAGGTGGACAAGGCCATCTTCCGGAACGACAAGGTCATCCAACTGACCGACACAACCAAGGGCTTCCCCTCGAACATGGGCATCGGTGTCATGAAATGGAAGCTCTCACCACGGGCCGACGAGGTATCGGACCCACCCATCACCTTCCGCGTCTGGGTCGAGGAAAATGGCAACTCGTTCAACATCACGGTCGAGTACGAGCTCACAGGCGGCGACCCGCTCAAGGACGTCACAGTCACCATTCCGTACGAGACGGACGAGCCCAACGTGTCCTCCTTTGACGCCGTCTACGAAGTCAGCGGCGACAGCATCGAATGGAACATTGGCGCAGTCGACGAGGCCAACAGCTCCGGCAGCTTCGAGTTTGAGGCCCAAGCCGGGAGCGATGCCGAGTTTTTCCCCATGCGCGTCCGCTTCTCAAAGAGCACCCCATTTGTCGATATCAATGTAAGTTTGCGGCATACCTACCTCTGAGCATCCCTCGTGCTGCTACTACTACTAAGAGATTCTGGCTAACCCGGTTATTAGGTGGCGTCTGTTCAACTCCTCGCTATGAATCAAGACATCAGCTTCTCCAAGGATGTCAAGTCTCATGCTGATGTCTACGAGATTATGTAAGACGGAAAGGAAATATTGTATCCTTGTGCTTGCATCTGCGCGCATGAGGGGATCGTGGTCACGGACTCGAGTAGACTATCAATAAAATCCATCATCTAGTTTATGGCAGTGTTGTGGTTTGACCTTGGACTTGAGACGTGCATTTTACATGTCTACTAACCTAAGGGGTTTTTTTTTTCATCCCATGCATCTGTCGCCATCAGCATTTTGTTTTTCCATCTCCAAGTCTGAGTGTGAGTCTGAATCCCAAGTCTCAGGAGGAAATTCCATTCCCTCACACCAAACTCAACTACCAAAAAAAAATAACCCTGCAATTAAACCAGGCTACATGCTACATACATGGTCTCCCTCGCAAGAGCGCAAACAACCCTTCAACTCAACCCCTTCCAGTCTTCACCCCCCTAACACACCCTCACACAACGACCGCACCCCCCAAAAACGCAAACTCGTCCCCCAATCCCACACTAACCCTGCTAGCCCTCGGACTGTGTCTCAGCGTGGCTTTACTCGCCGTTGCGTCTGTGGCGGCGGGGAGCGTGTAGTGAAAGCCTAGGCCGAAACAGGTGGCTTGGCGGTGGGCGGCTGGTGTGGTGGTGGTGGAGGGATGGATGGGAGTATCATTGGTGGAGGTGGGGGTGGAGGTGGAGGTGGAGGTATTGTGGGAAGTGAGCAAGGTGTCCAAGGCGAAGAAATCAGAGTTAAAGGTGGAGATGCGGAGGTCGTCGAGTTGCGGGGGTGTGGGGGAGAGGTAGGGAGTGTGTGTGAGAGAGGTTGGGTTTTGCCGGGGGGACTTGGATGTATTGTTTGTGTGGGGAGAGGGGAGGGTGGTGGGCTGGGCGGGGAGTGGTGGTGAGCTAGTTGGGTAGAAGGAATTTGATGTGAGGCCGAGGGGTGAGGCGGCGTAGCTGCTTGTGAAGGAGCCCAAGGATGGTGAGACCATTGCATCGTCATCATCATCATCGTTGTCGTCTGAGGTAGGAGAGCTGGAGACGAGGGAGTCGCGACTCCAGGTTGAGAAGTGGCTGCGTGGTTTGGGGTGGAACGAGGGTTCGAATTCGGAATGTTGGTCCAGGGTGCTCAGCGCAGGGGAGGCTGGGAACTCGATGGGGGAGGGGTCGGGTAGGGTGGAGGTGAAGTTGCATGCGAATAGAGGTGCTGGAGTGATGTAGCGTGGGAGGGCGGGAAGGTCTTTGTCCAGTGGCGAGTCTCGTAGAGAGGCGTTGCGGTTGTGTCCATGGCTGGAAGTCGGACGTTGGCATACGCCGGGGAGATGCAGATGGCTGATGTGGCGTTGTAGTGTAGGTGCCGCCGGGGTGTCATCCTCGACGATCTGATCCATGTCTACAAACTCCTCTTCTCGCTTGGGCGACGACAGCCACGGGTCATTGGAAAATAGATAGTGTTGCGTTCGCCTGGTGTCTGCCGAGTTTGCACGGATGCGACCTTGGTTGATCTGGAACTCGCTGGCGATGATGGTAGAGGGTACGTGTGATCGACGGCGTGATGGTACTTGTTCGTGTCCTGCTAGCTCTGAAATATCCGAGTTGCCGTCCAAAGTTGGATCCACAGGATTCGACGCAAGTGGCGAAAACTGTTTCCGTATACTTGGTATCGATCGGGTCATTTTGGTCGCTGGAGTAGCCGCGGCATCGTGTGAGCGACTGGGTCGGTAAACCGACAAGGGGATCAAACTGTCCTCACTGACTGTCGAGCTTACCAGTACCGGAGACCCAATCTCGAGTTCTTTTGATTTGGAAGAGCTCCGGGTCCTGGCAGCAGAGCGTTTCGACGCTAGCTTCTCTTTCAGTACTTTGAAATCGGGGAACATTGGTGTCGACGGCATGCGTGGCGAAGCAGACGCGCTTCGAGCATGTCGTATCACATTTGGCGACAGGTATCGCTCGGCCGGTACATAGGTGGCAGATCTCGGGGCCCAAGGCGATGGTGGTGACATGGAGTAGGAACTCGAGCTATCTGATCCAGATCGTAGCGAGGGAGGTGGCCTGAGGGCTGCAGGAGGCACGGGTGTCAGATATCTGTCATCCGGATTACGTGTGAATGTAGCTGAACTCTCAGAGTTGCTGCGGCTGTGTCGTTCTCTTGGTACCTCCAGTACATTAAGTCGTTGTCCAGGAAGAAGTGGGCACACTGTAGTTGATGGTTCCGAGGGGTTGTGGCATTCCTCATTTTCATCGACCTTGTACTGCAAACAGTCAGTATGAAAGCCAGCCTTGTGAATATTTTACTCACATAGTACCAGTAAGTTCCACCCATTTTGAGCAATCCGTCCCTTCGTGTAGACTGTTCTTCGAGATCCCCGTCGCAGATGATGTCGGAAAAAGTAAAGCAGCCTTTCCAGATATTACACCCTCGACGCGCGTCAAGCTTGAGTGGATACGGCCGTGAGAAATTGTCCCAGGAACCAAGCAAGGCTATACTGCGCTGTGCAGATGGGCAGTGACTTCAAGGCAAGAATGAGCAACGGCCTTAAAATGGTGGCACAGAGGGATGGACATACAAGAGGAAAGTGTGCAGTGTCGTATTATCCATGGCCATGATATTGGGTTCAACTAAGCTGTTAACAGCAGAAAGTGTTGCTTCTGAAGCGCGTACGCGGCTAAGCCCTGCCCAGCTCAGAGGTTATGCATATGTCGTGGTATCAGGAATAGACTCTTATGCAACAGGCAGTGTAGATTTGTTTCAACCTGCTCTTTCTGTATGGCTCACTCAAAGGATGTTCCGCAAGTCCAGAATGCCAGACTCCTGATTGGCGTCGAAATTCGGGCGTTTGGCAAAAAAGCTGAAACTGGACCTGGTGGCCGTATGTACGATTATGGCGAGGCGGACAGGGTATACCTATGCAAACCTGAGGAATCCGGACGTAGTAATTTTTTTCTAATGCGTGTATATTCCAAAAGTGCAATGCAGAAAGTCGGAGACCAGACGGAAGTGTTGGAGTGTGGAGACCAGGCTGTTGTTGTAGTCGTTCAAGATTGGCTCCTTTGCCGCCAGTTGATGGTGTTGGCATGCGGCTGAGAAACGAAGCAGCCTGAGCGCTTAGAGTCGACGTCCAAATCGCCGGAATACTAAATGTATGAAACACGGTCTATAGGTAAGGTAGTCTTGAAAACGGTGCACAGTGTCTGGCTCGGCAAGGGAACCGGTAGAAGAGCAAAAGAGAAGTGAGAAGGGCTGAGGAGTGAAGACGCAGATCGCTCTGTATAGGCAGTAACTCACGGGCAGCCAGCCACACGGCGCCTTTTGGACTTGATAAGGAGGCCTTGCTTGCGATTAAACGTTCGGAGACTCATGGCACTTGAGAGGGCGTGGGTCAAGGACGCCAAATGAAGCGTGGTTTATTGGGCTGATGTCACGATTGGCCATGGTTCGCCGCAAACGTCGGTTGCGCAAGAGATGCTTCAGCTCCTTCATTTCCTCAGCCCGTCCACTCACTCCATCGCGAACGATGCTGCTGGTCTCAGCCGGGAACCGCTGGCAGAGAACCAGATTGGACTGAAGAATGAATGAATGAATGTCTTGGCTGTGCTCCTGCATTGCCAGGTATTCAAGATGATGGTGAACATCGCGGTCCTTGATGTTCGACGGCAAGATGGCCGGATCTTGAGAATCCGCAAATCTCGTCTTCGGGTGACTGGGGGCGAGGATGATCGTCATGCTTTCATGCTCTTCCCCTGTCGTTACCAGCCAAAGACAAGCCGGACCACGATTCAGTCAGCGCGCGGCTACCGTTAGAATCCGCTAATTTGCCCTTGGCCCTGAAACGATCACCGGCGGTGCACGCGCAAGCGGTCCACTAGCAAATCTGCTGCTCCCACGAGGTCGAGCACTAGATCCCGACGGCTTCAGCTTGTTAGGTAGAGTCTTGCTCGTGCGTTACTGAGATTGTGATTGTTGGAGAGCTTCATCGCTGAACGCTAGGGACAAGGCGTTGTCGTCGTCGTTGTTGTTGTGGTGATGGAATGGACGATGTCCAAATGAGCAGGATGAGGTGGGGTAACCTAATTGTGGGTGTTCAGTTTCGCAAACCCCAAGGAATTCCCGCACAGGTTTCTTCGAGGGCGCAGTTTATATAACTATAGAATTAGCGCTGCGTGAACTTGTATTTAGCATAGGGTTAGGCCATGCCAAGCTCTACTAGCTAGCTAAGCAAGGTTAACTAAATATTATACTATAAGATTTTATAATATATTCTAAACCTATTCTAAATATATTCTATACTAGTAATACTATAAGCTACTACTACTATACCTATTACTAATATATCCCTTATATCCTATATAAGTAGATTAAAATATATTTAGAACGTGTTCTTAATAGGTTATAGAAGCACTATTAATAGTACCTTACCCTTAGCTATATCCTAAATAATATTAGGGTATAGCCTATAGTTAGCCCTAATAAGGTAGTTAAGATAGAGAGTAGAGAGCACTACTACTATACTAAGATTAATAATAAGGGCACCTTATATAGAGTAAGAATAGGTTCTAAACGTGTTCTAAATAGGTTCTAATATTCTTAGGCTATTCTAGGTACTAGGGGCACTTTATATACCTATGCTAAAAAAGATTATAGGCTTAATATAGCCTACTATAAGGTTAGTAAGGTTAAGAAGACTAGCTAGCCCTCTATAAGGGAGGTCTATAAGGTAAAGAGTAAATATATTATTAACCTATTCTTAACTTATTATACTAATATATATAGACTTCTATATAAAGATTATATATAATTACTAGAATACTCCTTACTATAAGTTATTTAGAATATATTTAAAACTTATTACTAACTTATTTTATAGAAGTTCTCTAAGCCTAGCTAGTAGCTACTATAGGCCCCCTTATAAATACTAATACCCTCCTAAATATAATTTAGAAGAAGACTTATACTAGCTATAATAGTAATAAGGTATAGCCTATAAGAACCTATTAAAAACACGTTACTAACTTATTATAGCTTAACTTTATTACTATATCTACCTTACTAAGGATTTAAGGTTATTATAACGACTTAGGTAGGTAGGGCATCTGAAAGGTATCCTATACGACTTAAAGGCATATAGGAGTGCGCGTCTGTATAGAAAAGGATAAGATTCCTACACCTATAGGTCTTGTACAAAAGGACAAGAAGAACATGCCTATCCTAACTATAGGCAAGCTGTTCTCTATATATATTAGTAAGTTAGGCCTTTATTAGACTAGACTTAGTATAGAATAATAGGCAGGCAATTCTACCTTATTATTACACTACCCCCTCCTATAGAGAAAGGATAGTCCCTATCCTTAGGATTAGGTTTAGATCCCTCTTTAAAGAAGAGCTTTTGCAAAATAAATCCACCTTTACCTCTGCCTTTACCTTTACTTCTTCTTCCTAGGGCACGGACCCCTATCCCTAGCCTGCCTATAACTAGCCCTCTACCTACTAACTTTCTTACTCCTATATCCCTAATTTTTTAATTATTTAACCTAATCTATCTAAAATCTAGTAAGTATTTAATCTATATAATTAAATAGTTACTAATCTAAATTAGAACCTTTAGCTATGCTAGTACTAGTACTACTAGGAGTCCTCTTAGTTGCTTATCGCGCTCTCTATATAAGAGCAGTTAGGGCTCTAGCTAGGGGCAGGTTTAACAATTTTAATTTTAAGTTAAAGAATTCTAAGAAGTGCTAGTACTATATCTCCTAGAATAAGTATTGCAATCTAGTAAGTGTCTAAGTCTAATAGGGTTCCTTTACTAATCCTAGCAGATTCCTTCTTTTATTAGCTAAGAGTACTCTGCCCTTAGGGGTGCTCTAGAAGAATACTATAGTCTAATTAGAAACCCTACTAAAGGGGATAAGGATAAGGAAGCTATAGTTGCCTATTAGAAGGATATTAAGTAGTTTAAGGCTACTATTTAAGAAACTACCTAAAACCTTACTAAGTGCGTTACTATTACTAATACTTAGACTAAGGGTATAGAAGCTACTAAAATCCTTATAGCTACCTATTATACTACTATATCTAATTCACGTTAGCTTTAGAATAGTATCTATAAGATAGTCTTAGCAGTTAAGGGCTTAATAAGGGCTATTATAGAACTTAAGAAGGAATTAGCGCTAAATTAGGAGGTAACTTTCCTAGTCTAGGCTAAGATAAAGGCGTTCCACAAGAAGGAGTCTAAATTAGTCCTAGCTCCTGTCCCTGCTCCTGCACCTGCTACACTAGTTGTCTAGAAGCTAGCAAAGAAGGATAGTCTAGGCGCGATCTTAGCTAATACAGAGTCTAAACTAGGTTCTAATAGAGAGATAGACACAGAATAAAGAGGTTTCCTAAGGGTAGTGTCCTAGGAACCTTTAAGGTTCTAAATAGGATATAACAATAAATAGTAATAAGAATAATAGTAATAGATAGTAGTTAATAGGTAATACGTAGCTAAATAGGATATAAATTAGTTCTAGTATTAGGCGTGATTATTATAAAGTAATATTAGATCCTCTTTACCTTTTTCCTAGGCTTAAATCTATTTTAGTAAGCTGCGTAGGGGACCTAGCTAATTTAGATACTATTAGTAGAATACCTATAATTTATAGGGAGCACCTATAAAGTTAGAGGCAGGATACTAAATAGGATTAGGATTATATCTAACCTACTTAACCTTATATTTTAGCTTAGATTAATATAATTTGCTAGCTAGGATTTCTTCTACCTCCTATTCCTCTACACCTTGTATAGGAGTACTAGGGGGTTTTAGAGCCTCTTATCTAGGTAACAGGTCTTAGGGATCTTTATATAGTATATTAGGAGAGAAAATGTTATAGATCTTAGAACTAGGTAGCAATTAGAGGCGATACGCGTTTCCTACTTATTCTAATACCTTAAAGGGACCTTCCTATTATTTAGATAGTTTTTAGCTAGGTTATAAAATAGCAAGATTAGTAGTAGATAGATAAATATAGTTACTAACCTTCTAGTTAACTAGACAGCGATAGCAATTAGTAGCAGAGCGCATTTGGTCTTAAGCTCTTTCTATATTTTCTTTAGCAATCTTCTAAGCGTTATGCATCTAAGTAGCAAGGGATAAGGCGTCTTTATAGTTTAGTTTCTCTAGTATAGTAGATAGGGTCTTTTCTAGTTTCTAATACTAACTTTGCTTTAGTAAGGAACTAAAGAGGAGCTAATATAGAGCTATGCTAATAGATAAATATAGAAGAGTACTTTAGGCACGGTCTATTATAGGTAGTAGCTTGCTCTAGTTATCCTAGTAATAGGATATAAAAGGCCTTAGTCTCTAATTAATATACTTATTTATAATCTTAGTTTGTCTATTAGTCTATTTATAGTAGGCAGTAGAGAGCTTAACTTTAGTGCCTATAATCTAATAGAACTTAGACTAGAAACTAGATACAAACTAAGGGCCTTAATTAGAAATAATAGTATCTAGAGTATATCTAAATTAGTACACCCACTAAATAAATAAGGTAGCTATACCTTAGGCGTCTATAGTTTTGTAGCAAGGGATAGTAATAGCTTGCTTTAATAGGCGATTAATAATAACTATAATCTAATTATAACCCTATTAATCCTAGGGAAAATCCTTGAAATTAATGCATAGGTGCTGCATTAGTAGACTAGGGATAGGAAGGGGGTAGAGCATGCCTAGGAGTTAGTGCTGTCTTAGGTGCCCTCTCCTGCATAGGATACAGTTTTAAACATAGCGTTTACAGGTAGTCTCTATACCTTTCTAGTAGTAATATTAGGCTAGAATCTAATAGGTTTTAGTAGCTAATAGGTAGGCTATAGACACTTAATTATAAGCCTTACAAATTAGTCTAGTATATAGGACTAATCTAGCAGGCACGCAAAGTTAATCCTAGTAGAGAAGGAGTCTATTTTCTATCTAATAGTGCTTAGGTAACTCTAATCTTTCTATTAGGAATAAGTACCTATTTTCTTAGAGAAGAGTTTTAATAAGTTCTAGGGATCTAAGAGTTATAGGGTTCTAAACTACTATAATTAAAGCAAGGATTAGTAAGGAACACTTAGCTAGGTAGTCTTGCGCTAAGTTAGAGTTAATTTAGGGGTGTAACCTATCTAGGGAGATTATTACTTATAAGCAATTATCCCTTTACGTAGTCTTAAGGTTAACTATATCCTATTCCCTTCTACTTAGGATATTAGCTTAGGCGTTATAAGATCTAGGAGTATACTTAATTTAGAAGTTAAAGGGACTTATAACCTCTAGCTATCTAGCTTACCTAGCACTAAGGACTTTAGTAGATATAAAGTACTCTAGTGCTCTATAGTCCATGTATACTCTAATAAGGTGCTAAGTACTTATTAGGTTAGCACGCTATTTCTTAAAGGCGCAGATTATTATAAATAATTCTTTGTTATAGATTTCCTAATTAAGTTTAGAACTAGTAAGGGTCTAACTAAAGAAGGATACAGGGTACTATTTCCTATTAGGATGCTCCTATAAGAGGATAGCTATAATAACTCTATTAGAGGCGTCTATCTCTAGTTTTAGAGGGTACTTAGGATAGAAGTAAGCTAAGCTTAGGATTGCTAGTAGGGCATTCCTAAGCTAGTTAAAGGCTTGTTAGCATTCTAAAGTCTATACAAATAGGGTAGCAGGGCTCTAGAGAGCGGTTAAGGGCTTAGCTGTCTTAGAGAAG